TGAAAACATAATAGTAATAAGAAACATTATCATGAATTTAAAGAAAAAGAAAGAGAAAATACTAAAGAAAACATAGGCAAGAGAGACATACAAATATTTTAGAGTGGTAATGTTTCCCAAATAGCCTGGAATTGGCCCTGATAAGCGGTTCATAGCAAGAGACCTGAAATGAATTCACTCCTATTAGCTGAATGAAGGCAAGCTTCTTCAAAACACGATCAACATGAAGTACACTAGTGGCTTACACAAACTCCAACTTCAGAGCAGTCCATTCACGAGGTATTGTACCCTTAAGATAGTTCAGAAAGAGTAGTCTAAAAGCAACAGAAAAAGTTAAAAAATGGATAGAAACTTATTTTCTGGTTAAAGAGCAAATCATCAATTGTAAGCTTTTCTTACAGTGTTTTAATATACGATAGCTTGACAAGCGAGCGTGGCAGAACACCATCAAGATCCTGCCCTGTAAGATAGCTGTTCCAATGAATACAATGCTTTTTAGATGCATGTCCAATTCAAAATCTCCTAATATATGTTCTGATCTTACATAGGAATGAAAATTTAGTAGCAGAAAAAAGTATGCCATGTCCCCATCAGTGATAAAAAAATGACAGCAAAATGACTGAGGTGATTAATTCGAATAAATTTGTACTACGGTTAAGGAAATTAGAATAAGCATCAATTTTCTTATGACCAGTAAGGACATACATGCCATCAATATGACATTCACCATCGGGGAAGGAGCAATTGCAGGTGACAGTACTGTTGTAAATGGCCCGTGGCACATTTGGCGGCGGAGGTGGAGTAAACCAGCTTGACTTATTGTTGCAAGGGTTTTCACTGAAATTCCAATCCTTCTTTCCGAGTTCTGCCGCAATCTCACGAAGAGCTTTTACTGCAAAGCCAAAAAAATAAAAAAAATAAAAAAAGGAAAGCCATTGGATGAAGGTGAGTTGGGTTGAAACATACTTACAAGAAAATCTTAGGATCTGAGTTATATTTAATACACTATGAGCTTATAAAATAGTATTTTATACACTGTCAGTGCACCAAATATAAATTCATAATTTTTGGGGTGAATTTTTCATATATATATACACTAGGTATATACTTAATTTTTGTATATGTACATCAAGCCAAATCAATTTTGTTAAAAACACAGTCATATTATGGTATTTAATATCTTATAAATGTCTTAATTATCTATTATCATTAATCTTATATATTTTCTGTTATTAATGCTTATATTAAGCTTTATATATATATATATATATATATATATATTGTTATTGATACTTATAAGATAAAATTCTCCAAATATAAACAAAGCTTTGCTCGGGACTATTCTTATAAGTTGAAGTTTGATTAAATTTGAGTTAATATGTAGGTACTTGTTACAAGAACAAGTTCATTAAATATAACTTAAGATAAAAATGCCATATAGTAGTTTATATAATGTCTATAACTATATTATCATATAATAGTTGTATAAATAATCATCTAACTTGAGATTACTTATGATTGTTTATGCTGAGTGTTATACTTTAACTTTACTTATGGTTTATAATCATAAATACTTAAGTTGAATATAGTTGGATATAACATAAAGCATATAAAGATGCATGAAGCAATAAAAATAGAATTCATCACATTATGTGATCAAGAAAGTATTTCAATTAGCCTTAATTGAATTAATTATAAAAATTTTTATCAAAGTGAAGTAAAAGTTTAGAATTGTATTAAAACTTATTTATAAGTTAGTGTCAAATAAAAAACTTAACATGGTTGAATAAGATTGAATAGAGCCTAAATCATGCTCAATGTTCAAGCTGAGATGTTTTATAATAAAAAGATATTAATTATACATTAAAATAATATACAGATAAGTTGTCAAACTACATCATCTTTCTTTAGTAATTAAGGGTCATAACAATATGACTATTATTAATCATAATCTATGAACATGAGATTGACTAATTAAAAAATTAGTGATGAAGCCAAAATATTTGATTTATCTAAGTTCAAACATAAGGATTACAATACTTGTATTATTATCAATATGCTAAAGAATTTAATAGGTCACACAAAATATAACAATGATGAAAAATTAAAATTTGGACAAATTAAGTTGAACTTAATTTGGATTGAGTTGAACCCAAAAGTAGAGCAATTAATAAGGAATCCAATGCATCCTTGTTATAGTAATAATAGGCATGCATAAGAATTAATTGGTAATTAAGTTGCTCTACACTAACCTTAAACTAGCTAAACCTTCCACTATATAAGCAACATTAGCCACCCCTTTTGGAAGAAGAATAAAACACATGCTTTCATCTCATCTATTGAGAACAAACTTAAGGCAGAACATGTACTTTCCTCTCATGTATTGAGAACAAACTTAAAATAAAAGTAAGGAGAAGGTTTTACAATACTTACTAACTAGAGTAACGATTTTGTTCCTCCCATCTCTTAAAAAAGTTCTTTTATAATTATTCGGGTGAATCATTGTTAGAGGCTGAATTTTTGAGCAGCTTTTGACTTGCTAAAACAAATTTGGTGAGTTCTTACTATTAAAACAAAAGTTCGAAAATCTGAAACTTTTGTTTCTAATAAATTTGGAATTTAAAAAAAATGCTCTAAGGCATATAATGGTGTTACTTTCTTAAGGTTTTATTTGTCTCCACTATATTATTTACTAGTAGACGTGTAAAAGAGTTGCAAGCAATAAACTTCAAAGATATAATGAAGCCAAGTGACTGACTCTGTTTTGCATTGGCGAAAATCAGTCAATCGAGCATTCATCACAAGATAATCGAATTTTTATAAAGGTTTTTTACAACAATAGTTTGTAAAAGAAATTTATACTTTATTTGAAAGAGGTTGAGTTTTGAAAATTGTTTTGGTATCCTTTTAGAAAACCAAAAGAAGTATATATATAATAAATTAAGTGTCTTTTTATTCTAGAGATATAGTTGTTTATTTTAAATAGATAGAAACTATTTATTTTTAAACAATTAAAACTATTTATTTGAACATACATATCTATTTGTTTTGTATATATTTAACTATTTTTTTTATCTGTATGTGTATTTTGGACAACTTATTAATTAGATATTTAATTAAAAATTAAACTTTAAATAAAATAAAATAAAATTTTATTTATTGCACTGGCCAAGTGTCATTAATTAAATATCAACATATATTAATTATTTAATTAATGCAAAACCAATCAAGCTTGAAAATCCAAGCCTATGATCTATTAACTACTTAAGTTCAACTATTATAGACTTTTACTTTTCTTAATTTAAAAAGGCTATCTACTTTTTTTCTTATTTCAACCGAGAAATTATTTTTCATACTTTATTTTGAAAATCTCTAACACTTATTTGGTATTAAGAAAAAATTGCACAAAAAGTAATCCACTCATAACCGAAACTAATTTTCATGTTTGTATGATCTTATTAATTGATTTTAATTTTAAAAAGTTGAAAACTTTTAAAATTTCACTGTAATTACTCGATATACTGATGCATAATTTCTTACACTCTAATGAATCAAACGTGCAATGTACTGCTTAATACTTGTGTCACGGATCGAGACTCAAGCTCCGAATCCGGGCGGCTTTGAGATCGGGCCTCCACTCATTGGAGAAAGATTACTTAATCATCAGAGAAAATGTTGGTCAATAAAATTTTATAAGACAGTTTTATATTTTATATGATTTGTATTTGGATATATATAAAATGTATCATCAGTTTGATTAAATATATAGATTTTACTTGATAAATTATTTTATTAAAAAATATTAAAATGATTAAGAAAAAATATTTCGTATTACTTTGAAGTTTATTTCAAAATAATATTATTGTGTTACGTTTTGATCTCGAAGCGTAATAGGTTTAGTGATTAAAACTATGATACAAAGTGTTAAAATCACACAATGAACTAAAAGAGTGTTAAAACTCAAAATCTTGAGTGGAAAACGTTAATATCAACTAGTAAACTGGAAACCGGTAAGCAAGAGATCGACTCTGAGTTAAACTTAAAACATCAGTTAACCAGTACCATTCTATCCAAACTAAGACAAGGCGATAATTGAAAACTCTATTTTAAGTTCATGAATATACGTACTTTCATCATGTGGAGGAGGAGGTGGCTCCACTTGAGATTCAACTTTGTTCAATCCCATGCAGATGAAAAGTAACATGTAGCCAAAGATTTTCATGGATGGAAGATGAGTGATTCTACCCACGTTTTCTTCTACATGCTCAGCTTTTCTTGTTAATCTCCTTTTTACCTGAGTTTTGAGAATAACAACTAATGATTCCATTGAAGTGTGGGACACTGATGTAACAGGTATAGCATGGCAGAGGAAAACCATAAAATTGAAAGTTCATATAATAATCATTTTATAGCAACTATCAATAGTAATGGGAGTTACTGTTTTTGATCAACTAAGAACTAGAACAAGGCTACACGTTTTCAAGTCAGAAAAATATGTTCACGCCAAAACATCTTCCGGCAGCAATGAAAGGCAAGTTATCCCTACGAAAATCAAGTAAACTCAAGTCAATGTGGGGCACAACAGGCTATCAGTCAAGCAGCCCTTTTGGATTAAAATCTTACATCTTTACAACAAAACAAAAAGAGAAAAAGTTAAACTTTTCTGAAGACATATAACCGTTAATATCTATGTTAAATCAAATTTTATTAGGGTAAAACACTAAAAAAAATCTTGAATTATTTTATTTTTAAATAAATTTTTATATTTTATTTTATATTTTTATTATATTCATATAAATTTTTTATTTATATTTAAATAAATTTTTATTACAAAAAATCAATTTTTGTTAAAAGTTTATCTAAGTACAAATCAAAGACTAAAAATTTATTTAAATATAAATTAAAATTTAAGAATTTATTTAAATACAAAGTAAAGATTAAAATTTTATTTAAATACAATAAAAAATAAAATTTTATTTAAATAAAGTAATAAAATTTAAGTTTTTTTTTTTTTTTTGGTTATTTTAGCCTTCTATTAGTTTTGAAGTCAGTCTCTTCACTAATACAGTAATCAAGATTGATTTGATGGATCTTGAACAAACGTTGAGGAAGGGCCAGGCCATGCTGTTGAATCTGATGGCTGAGTAAACGTAGTGGTTTCACCACCCTCCCGAGATTGCATTCGGTTGAGTTGGTCTTTTAGTGCTCCGAATCTCATCTCATCACCAAAGATGCTAGGATCCATGATTAATTCAGGAACAGGGGTTCGACCTTCAAGCATGCTTACTACCTCAGACATGATAGGTCTAAGTGCTGGTGATGAATTTGTGCACAATAAAGCTACTCTTGTCATTCTCATTGCCTCTTCCTCATTGAACTCGGTCCCCAACCTTGGATCCACCAACTCCATTAAATTTCCCTTTTGTTGTAAAACAAGAGCCTGAAATAGATGCAGGAGATAATGGAAGTTACAAAAGTAAAAAAATAACGCAATGAGTAAACAAGAGTAAAGTTGCAATTGGAATATAATAAATTTCATGTGAAAGAATAAATTAACAGGAAAAAGACATTAATGAATCTGTAAAAGTTTACTGCACAAATCATTTGACAGCAAAAAGAAAACCAAAACATATATCATTTAGGAGAATACATTGAGATTTCTATGATGATATCTCAACCTCAAGAACAGAATCCAAGGTATAAAATAATATTACAACTTAAAACTTGAATTACATCTTACCCAATCTTGAAGGCATACATAATCCTCCTCTGGTCGATATTTTGTATTGTTCTTTCCAGCAACAATTTCTAATGCAACAATCCCAAAACTATAAACATCTGCCTTGTAGGTCAGATAGCCCCATAATGCATATTCTGGGGCCATGTATCCTCTGCAAAATAGGAGCTATAAGCACAACATTCTCATGCGTATCAACTTTGTTCACCTTTGCATTAATAAATTTATGATTTAAGACTTCCATGCTCTTGGGAAAAATAAGCACATAGAAATCTGTTTTGTTAAATATTGTGAGTATCTCAAGTCACCTAACCTATCCCATTTCCACCAAAGATAGGAGGCTTTATCTCATTTTTACTGCTTTGAATACTAATGTTTCTCTCAATCACAGAAACTTCAGTTTCAAGAATCTATGTATTGTTTTTATCGAAGCAACTTGATAAATTAAACATTTCTCAAACTTGTAATTGAGTTGGAAAAAGGAAACAGAATTGTATTTTCGTTAGATTCAACGGAAATATGCCCATGCAATGATGCTGAGTTTTGTAGCATGAGCTTGTAATCAAGAGGGGCATTAAATCCTGTTGTTAACCTTGTGTGCCCCCTACCTTTGGGGAAAGGGACCCCCACCCTCCATGGATGGGCTGCTATAATCTCTTTGATCAAGAAAGAAAGGCAATGAAATGATGATCAGTAGATTCTTCAAAAGAAAAACAAAGGGGAAAGAGATAGCTCACATAGTTCCAGCAACTCTGGTGCTAATATGGGTGTTTTCCTCCTCATCAAACTTGGCCAAACCAAAGTCAGAGATTTTAGCATTGAGATCCCCATCAAGTAGCACATTGGTAGTTTTGATGTCTCTGTGAACAATTTTTAAACCCGATTCCTCATGCAGGAAAGCCAGACCTTTTGCTATGCCTAGACAAATTTTCTGCCTGGTAGGCCAGTCCAATTTCAGCTGGCTTTCTGTAGGACCTGTTGGTAAACACAGGCCAACCCATGAAATTCATTATACAGTTATCAATATATAGTATTTAGATCTTTCCTTTCTATAATTGTTATAACATACATTTTTTTTTCTCGAGGGGAGGGTGGAAGTGATCAAAGGAGGAGAGGAACACTTGCTTTATATGGAGCCCAATTGCAGAAACATCAAATCAAGGGGGAATTAAAGAGGTTTAGGACATTAAGCTTACCAAATAAAGCACGTGCAAGGCTATTATTTTCCATGTGTTCATATACCAACAACAGCTGAGTTCCCTCAACACAACATCCATATAACCTAACAAGATTTGGGTGTTGTAATCCTGCAATCATCCCTAGTTCATTCAGAAATTCACGATCTCCTTGTCTTGATTTTGAAGAAAGTTTTTTAATTGCAATTATGGTACCATCCAGTAGTACACCCTACAACAGAGGTATAGCATAGAATTTTTGTTATATATTTCATCAAATAACACTTACTGCTGAACATCATAAATCAGAAAGGAAATAAATAAAATGATAACGAGAAAACCATGGATTGCAGGTACCTTGTAGACAGCTCCAAAACCACCTTCACCAATTTTATTTGCACCATCAAAGTTGTTAGTAGCAACTTTCATTTGTCTGAACGTAAAAAAGCCAGTCTGCATATCTAACCCCCTCAGGACTTGGAAGACATTGGGGGAACCAGTTGCATATCACAGTTAATAAGCATGAAAAACACACTCGCGCGAACAGATCATCCTAGAGAAATTATTTGGAAGTGTAAAATTGTATGTTGAAGTTTATTTAAGTACCTTGTTCCCTTGATGGCTCGCATTGAAAATAGCCTTTCCACCATAGAATGCCTAGGATTATGAAAATCAGGCAAGGAACAGAAACAACAGCTCCCACTACAAACTTCATATTCTCATTCTCACCAATAGGAACTGGAGGCTTGAAATCTACCAACAAAAGGGATAAAAAGGTATAAACACTTAATCTAAAACTTCATCGCCAGAAGTAACACTGCATATGCATATGCTATTAAAATGTTAGACTGATCAGACAATTTAAGTACTTGAGACAATATGGGATGCTTAAAGCACTTGAACTCTTTTCCTTTTGAGAAAATTAAAACACAGGAAATGGGTCTCATGTCACCGTGTCAGTTTACAGTAGAGTTCTACTAACTTAAGCTTCCAAGATTCTATGTCATGCAAACAATAGTTAAGGGCAAGTTCATTATTGCTTCACGTCATTTACATGTCAATCCATTTCAAGCATTAAATAAGCAGGACAATTAAGAATAGAGTTCTCAAATATAAATAAGAGATTGAGCAAGTACATAAGAATAATGAATGGCTATTTAGATAACAGATCTTACCGGAGTCTACTGAGATAGCTGATATCAGAGGACCATATGTTCCTCTTCTTGGGGTACCAGTTGTCCCCTTCCCAGCCCAGTGAAAGCGTATAGTTAAAGTCTTGTTCCTGACAACCGTTTTAAATGTCCTAATAACTGCTTTATCAACCCCCTTTGCCTCATTTTTAATATTGAAATCCTTCAATTCAAGTTTCTCCTGCAACAAACTTATTCAATCAAACCAGCTTCAGTAACATGCAAATTACACTTCATATATAACACGATCAATTACCTGGACATAAACATCAAATATCCTTCTTCCAAGACTTTGATAGGATCTATTGTCTCTGATAACTATCTCTGCAAAGTGAAGCGTAACTGTATAATTTCCATTTGCTAAGCAACGAAAATAATATGTGAGGGAAAGAGGAGAGAGGCGTGCTCTTGTGTATAATTCGGAGTTGTTTGTTCTAAGAATGGAAACATTTTGTGCTATATAGTCCCTTGAAGAAACAGAGGTATCCCAGAAAAGCCCAGTGCTACTAGTTTCCCAAGTCTCTTTGAGAGGAAAATATTTTGCTGGACCTCCTAAGTCGTCATCTGCTTCATAGTTGATGCCTTTAATAGTTGTTGCTCCTCCACCACAATTTATATGTATTGAATACCAATCTATGAAGAATGAAAAGTAATGGTGATTAAATTGATCAAATTATAAAAGGAAGAAAAAAAGGAAGAATGACACATTTACTCTTGGTTAGAGTAAAACCTTACTCTAGAGGACGATTTTGAAGTCTATAAATTGCATGTTAATTCAAAGAAATTACCTTTTGAACAAGGAAAGCCCTTCAGGCAGTTATCAAGTCCTCTAGATCCGAGTAGTATGACAAAGAAGTATCAGTCTTGTTAAAGTGTATAGAAAGGAATGGAATATAATAATAAAAAAAAGGGTAGCTTTTTTGCACATTCAATAAGATACAAACTTACGAGTTTTTGCCTCCTGAAAAGCTTCTAAACAAATTCCTGATAAACAACAAACCAAAAATTTCAAAACATTTACAAAGGTGGGAAAGTAATATGTACCCAGCATAGGAAGCCAAATTAAGAGGGAGTATTTTCTTACAGATTTTCCCGACAAGAAGCCAGCTCAGAGCTTTCAGACAAATTATTGTAAGAAAGATCTATCTGGCTGCAAAGAAGTAGAATACATTATAACTAACTAGACTTGAAATGTTAAGGTACAGTATATTTTGATTAAAATAACAACATTATAACTGCTATAAGCTAGAGAGGATATCTTTCCAGGTACCTTTAAGCAACTACAAAATGAGCAATTTGGTTTACCTTTGCATTGCTTTAAGAGGTCCTTAAGATTCTCAACAAAAAAAATCCTCAATAATCTAAGATCAAATCCAGCCTTCAATAAAAGCTAGAGGGTTACCATTGTTACATAGACTATCCATTGGACCAAAAAAGGCAATAAATTTCCTTCCTATAAAAGTTGAATTCGACCAATGACATCTACCCAAAATTCATGTTAGTCCCAGTTTTAAATTTTTAATGTTGCACAATGCTTTTTGTATCATATATATGACTTAAGCAACATCTATTTTTCTGTCCAACTTCAACATGCTTTCCATAAAATCAATTTATCATATAAGCATAGCAAATATATGCAGCAGAAATTGAACTTTAGAAAGCAAAATTGAGAGCAAAAGATTCCAAGCAAGAGTAGCTGTTAATTCTCTTGGCATAACACTGGAAACTTGAAACTAAATACAGCTTTTACTAAAGATGGATAATTTGAGAAGATTGCCTCTCACTATGTACTTGAGCATTGGAGGAAGGATAAAGTAAAAGTAATTTTAAGAATATATGGCAATCACATGTTGGTTAGCATGCAAAAATCACTATTATTCTTTCAAGAGTCAATAATGAAATGCAGAAAATAAACAGATACATTTAAAAAAAGATATGTCAAAATTGTAAGAAAAAAAAAGATAGCAGACATACTAGCGGCTATCTCTAATACTCAACCATTCTGGAATGTGCCCAGTAAGCCAGTTGCTTGTCAGGTACCTATTTGGTAAGCAACAAATGATCATGACTAAAACTTTAATTGAAGTGAATAAATGTTGACAAAATTTAGAACTTATATAGATAGGGATAATTTGGCATGAAGATTTGTTTTTTCGTTCCTGATTCTGAAGTTGTCAAGTATCAGCAACTTAGCTTTTTTTTTTTTATGTTATCTATGATTTTCCAGAAGGCGAATTGTTCAGATAAAATAAAAATATGACAATGTTCTGAATTACCATAAGAATCAATAGATTTAAAGTTTAAATAAATTTTTTATTAGCTACTGATTTTTCAATAAATATACCTATGAATAAAGGACCAAAAGAAAAAAAAACCATAGATTCTTTTTTTTTTTTTTTAAGCTAAAAAGTTTTATTTATCCAAGATTGTGTATTATTTCAAGAGCATATCATACACAAGTGTTCTTCTGATTGGTTCAAAAATGGTATTCTGAGTTTCAGATGAATACAACTCAAGAATTGACAGCACTTACATGTATTGCGCTTTTGTAAGGCTTTCAGAATCTAAAATGTTACCTTCCAATTTGTTGAAGGTGAGATCTCTGGAAGAAAAAGACAAATCAAGTATTTCATAGTTACACAAATAAAAATTTCCAAATGATGGCTTATTGAAATGTGAAATTCAAGAAATATAGAGATAAGTGCATTTATGAAGAATGAATTCATGAAAAGCATACTAGCATATCAGATGTTGAAGTTCTCAAGGTGCTGATTAAAGCAGATTCATGCATATTATTCTAACTATTCAACTTTCAAAAAGAAAAATGAATAATCTAAATATTTCATTAACCTGGGGAAGATGTTGCTAGAAATATTACAGAATCAGTCAATGCGAGCACGGGTTTACCTACTGTGATATGGCAATTGATGCAATGCGTCAAAGAAAAAAAAAAAAAATTGGCCGTCTGCCTATTATTTCACCTTTGGATTCAGGGGATTTTGTCACTATACTTCATGCAAGGAGATAGTGCATTTTATTTTTCTTACTGGAGTTAGTCTAAATTTAGTGTACCTAATAATCTCCAAGCATTGAAGATTGAAGTATGACAAACTTATTAAATACACATGCAAAGAAGGGAAAATGGCATGTCAAATATTGACATAAATAATGAAAATTAAGGTGAAATAAGAATAGAAGAATTACAAAATTTGCAGTTTTGAAAATTCCCATATAAAATCCGGGATTCGTCCAGATATATTGCAGCTACGTAACATCCTGCAATATGAGCATCATTTGAGCACCATTATTGCATATGGGGATTAGTATGACCTTGAAGGATTTTGCAAGCCTAGGAATGACTTACAATCTGTACATGTTTTTCATATTTTCCAAGTTTGGAAACTTTGAACCCTCTCCAGGTAAGTCACTGATCCTTCTGAATTATATTGCACCACAAAGAATTGTTAAAAGAGAAAAGGCTCCCAGAGCAGTAATTTTACCATCTAAATTGGAACAGAACAAGATGATGTTATTAAAGGTTAAGGGCTACAAAATCAAAAGGTACTAAAGCAAACTCACAGTTCTGTTAAATTATGCAAGAGTGCTAAGCTTGAAGGAATTGGCCCTTCAAAACCACCAGCTTGAATCTCTCTGTCACAAAAAGAACTCAAATTGATGAAGATTTATCACCAAAACTTTCAATGAGGGACTCTAGAGTAGTGAAGACAGAAAGAGGCTTACAATTTCTCAAGTTGCTTCCAACTTTGAAAAATGTTGGGTATTTTTCCAGTGAATTTGTTACTGCTAATCCTACTGCATAAACCTCGTATAGAAGCAGGGGTACTCAACAAATCTAGCCTTATTAACAGTATAATTGTAGATAGTGCTGAAAACACTTACAGTTCTTTTAGATTGGACAGATTAGCAAGGGCTGAGGGGAACTCTCCTGTGAGATAGTTAGCATTAAGGGTACTGCATTCAGCAAAGAGGAAGAATCAGGCCGGGTAAACTATACTAATTTTATTTTAGAAAGAAATAGACTGATCAATCATGCAAGAATATCTAATAGGGAAAAGAAAGGCTAACAGGTTTTCCAGGTTAACCAATTTCCCCAGCTCAGGAGGAATAGTTCCAGAAAATAGGTTGTTCTCAAGGGACCTGAAAACATAATAGTAATAAGAAACATTATCATGAATTTAAGGAAAATGAAAGAGATAATACTAAAGAAAACATAGGCAAGGGAGACATACAAATATTTTAGAGTGGTAATGTTTCCCAAATAGCCTGGAATTGGCCCCGATAAGCGGTTCATAGCAAGATACCTGAAATGAACTCACTCCTATCAGCTGAATGAAGGCAAGCTTCTTCTAAACAGGATCAACATGAAGTACACTAGTAGCTTACACAAACTCCAACTTCAGAGCAGTCCATGCACGAGGTATTGTACCCTTAAGATAGTTCAGATAGAGTTGTCTAAAAGCAACAGAAAAGAGTTATAAAATGAATGGAAACCTATTTTCTGGTTAAAGAGCAAATTATCAATTGTAAACTTTTCTTACAGTGTTTTAATATATGATAGCTTGACAAGTGAGCGTGGCAGAACACCATCAAGATCCTGCCCTGTAAGATAGCTGTTCCAATGAATACAAAGCTTTTTAGATGCATGTCCAATTCAAAATTTCCAAATATATGTTCTGATTTTACATAGGAATGAAAATTTAGTAGCAGAAAAAAGTATGCAATGACCCCTTCAGTGATTAAAAAAATGACAGCAAAATGACTGAGGTGATTAATTCGAATAAATTTGTACTTAGAAGCCATAGCCACATAAACCATTCATCTTGAAGTAGGCACAACTTTACTGTATTTGCCTAGATAATGATTATGTATTGCTATAATCAAGTTGGGCAATGCAAGCAAATCAGTGGTGTAAACTAAAAATAAAAAGAGGACTATGGTTAAGGAAATTAGAATAAGCATCAATTTTCTTACGACCAGTAAGGACATACATGCCATCAATATGACATTCACCATTGGGGAAGGAGCAATTGCAGGTGACAGTACTGTTGTAAATGGCCCGTGGCACATTTGGCGGCGGAGGTGGAGTAAACCAGCTGGACTTATTGTTGCAAGGGTTTTCACTGAAATTCCAATCCTTCTTTCCGAGTTCTGCTGCAATCTCACGAAGAGCTTTTACTGCAAAGCCAAAAAAATTAAAGAAAAAAAAGGAAAGCCATTGGATGAAGGTGAGTTGAGTTGAAACATACTTACAAGAAAATCTTAGGATCTGAGTTATATTTAATACACTACGAGCTTATAAAATAGTGTTTTATACACTGTCAGTACATCAAATATAAATTCATAATTTTTTGAGTGAATTTTTCATACATATATACACTAGGTATATACTTAATTTTTGTACATGTACATCAAGCCAAATCAATTTTGTTAAAAACATTGTCATATTATGGTATTTAATATCTTATAAATGTCTTAGTTATCTTTTATCATTAATCTTATATATTTTCTGTTATTAATGCTTATATTAAGCTTTTATATATATATTTTGTTATTGATACTTATAAGATAAAATTCTCCAAATATAAACAAAGCTTTGCTCGGGACTATTCTTATAAGTTGAAGTTTGATTAAATTTGAGTTAATATGTAGATACTTGTTACAAGAATAAGTTCACTAAATATAACTTAAGATGAGAATGTCATATAATAGTTTATATAATGTCTATAACTATATTCTCATATAATAGTTGTATAAATAATCCTCTAATTTGAGATTACTTATGATTGTTTATGCTGAGTGTTATACTTTAACTTTACTTATGGTTTATAATCATAAATACTTAAGTTAAATATAGTTGGATATAACATAAAACATATAAAGATGCATGAAGCAATAAAAATAGAATTCATCACATTATGTGATCAAAAAAGTATTTCAATTAGCCTTGATTGAATTAATTATAAAAAAATTTTATCAAAGTGAAGTAAAAGTTTAGAATTTTATTAAAACTTATTTATAAGTTAGTGTCAAATTAAAAAATTAACATGGTTGAATAAAATTGAGTAAAGTCTAAATCATACTCAATGTTCAAGCTAAGATGTTTTATAATAAAATACATTAATTATATATTAAAATAATACACAGATAAGTTGTCAAATCACATCAACTTTCTTTAGTAATTAAGGGTCATGACAATATGATTATTATTAATCATAATCTATGAACATGAGATTGACTAATTAGAAAATTAGTGATTAAGCCAAAATGTTTGATTTTTCTAAGTTCAAACATAAGGATTACAATATTTGTATTTATTATCAATATGCTAAAGAATTTAATTGGTCACAAAAAATATAACAATGATGAAAAATTAAAATTTGGACAAATTAAGTTGAACTTAATTTGGATTGAGTTAAATCCAAAAGTAGAAGAATTAATAAGGAATCCAATGCATCATTGTTATAGTAATAGGCATGCATAAGAATTAACTGGTAATTAAGTTGCTCTATACTAACCTTAAACTAGCTAAACCTTCCACTATATAAGCAACATTAGCCACCCCTTTTGGAAGAAGAATAAAACACATGCTTTCATCTCATCTATTGAGAACAAACTTAAGGCAGAACATGTACTTTCCTCTCATGTATTGAGAACAAACTTTAAAACAAAAGTAAGGAGAAGGTTTTACAATACTTACTAACTGGAGTAACGATTTCCTTCCTCCCATCTCTTAAAAAAGTTATTTTATAGTTATTCGGGTGAATCATTGTTAGAGGCTGAATTTTTGAACAGCTTTTGACTTGCTAAAACAAATTTGGTGAGTTCTTACTATTAGAACAAAAGTTTGAAAATCTGAAATTTTTGTTTCTAATAAATTTGAAATTTAAAAAAAATGCTCTAAGTCATATAACGGTGTTACTTTCTTAAGGTTTTATTTGTCTCCACTATATTATTTACTAGTAGACGTGCAAAAAAGTTGCAAGCGATAAACTTCAAAGATATAATCAAACCAAGTGACTGACTCTGTTTTGCATTGATGAAAATCAGTCAATCGAGCATTCATTACAAGATAATCGAATTTTTATAAAGGTTTTTTGCAACAATATTTTATAAAAGAAATTTATACTTTATTTGAAAGAGGTTGAGTTTTGAAAATTGTTTTGGTATCCTTTTAGAAAACCAAAAGAAGTATATATATAATAAATTAAGTGTCTTTTTATTCTACAGATATAGTTGTTTATTTTAAATAGATAGAAACTATTTATTTTTAAATAATTAAAACTATTTATTAGAACATACATATCTGTTTGTTTTGTATATATTTAATTTTTTTTTCTTATCTGTATGTGTATTTTGGACAACTTATTAATTAGAAATTTAATTAAAAATTAAATTTTAAATAAAATAAAATAATATTTTATTTATTGCACTGGTCAAGTGCCATTAATTAAATATCAATATATATTAATTATTTAATTAATGCAAAACCAATCAAGCTTGAAAATTCAAGCCTATGATCTATTAGCTACTTAAAGTTCAATTATTATAGACTTCTACTTCTCTTAATTTAAAAGACTATCTACTTTTTTTCTTATTTCAACGAGAAATTATTTTTTATATTTTATTTTAAAAATCTCTAACACTTATTTGATATTAAGAAAAAATTGCTCAATCTACTCATAATCGAAACTAATTTTCATGTTTGTATGATCTTATTAATTGATTTTAATTTTAAAATGTTGAAAACTTTTAAAATTTCACTGTAATTACTCGGTCTACTGATGCATAATTTCCTACACTCTAATGAATCAAACGTGCAATGTACTGCTTAATGCTTGAACCATGATATACGGTAAAGTTAAGAACCAAATTGGGAAGAGTGTAAAATCGAAAACATAAATTAGAAATTTTCAATATCAGCTAGTAAAGAAACAGCGGTTATCTTATTTCTTTCAAGCAATGATATCACAAACTGACGCAAGAAAGAGATAGTAAAGCTGTATTAATTTTACCTTCATAATTTGGAGGAAAGGGTGGCTGCACTTGAGCTTCAACTTTGTTTGATTCCATGCAAATGAGCATCAACACTGTAAGAATCATGTAGCCAAAAAGCAATTCCATGGTTGAAAGACAATTAGAAAATCTTCCCATGGTTTTCTTACGGATGCTCAGTTTGCTTGCTATCTCTATTGTCTGTTAAGAACAGAAATTTAGTTCTGTAAGGATGGAGGATAACGAGGAAAGTAAAGGTTGTTGGTGGCAACTGGCAAAGTTAGCTTTTGATGGTGGTTGCTGAATCTTCAACAATTGTAATACGTTCAAGTACTAAATCTGCTGTACTCACCAACTCTTTTTTGGTTTATGGGAGAGTACGAGGGAAAAAAATATACAATAACAATCCTTTCCAAAGGAAAGTAAAGGTATAGTATTGTTTTTTCAGTAAAAAAAAAAGTACCAGCACTCGAACTCGCTAAGGTTAAAAAAAAATTGTCACATGGTACGGTTGAAAATTCGTCCATTAGTCTAAAGGAGGTGGAAAAGAATACAATAAAAAAGAAAAAAAATGTGATTTAAAATATTATACAAGCTGGTCACCGACACCACGAGTCAAGTACTGAAATAATGTAATACTCCATGTAAGTCATAAAGTTGCTCAAAGATCCATGCTGATATTAATTATTTTTTTTTTTTTTTGAAAAAATTGCTAGCAAAGAGAAGACTATGTCTTATATTAATCACTGGCTCTGCTTTTGGCCTTTGAGGAGATTATGAGACATGGGGAAGTCAGAGAAAGAAGTTAAGACTAGTTTCTAAGATAGCCAAGTGCCAAGCACAATGTTAACGTTCCATAAGGGAAACGTCGAAAAAGAGCACCAAGAGTACCAAGCATCAAATAATCAACTTTGTACATCGGAATTCAGAAAATTATATTAAATCAATCGAATTCAGATTGTGATATCACGATCGCGAAAGAATATAGGTCTATTTACACTTCAAAGGGCTGCCGAATTCTTACAGGAAAGATGATACAGCACTAGTAATTTATAGAATTGTATTCTCATGATATATCTTACAGCTAGACTCCAATATGCTCTGGCCTATGGGATAGACCTGAAAAGATCCAGACAGCTTCAGCAAAGAAAAAATTCGTCCAACCTCTATGCAACTTGAATGGAATGCTCAATACTATGAACAAAATCGTGAATCTGGCTTGATTTCGTTGGAGTTATAAGATGTAGAAGAAGAGCAGAAGGTATGAACAGTAGTTGAATTTTGGGTTTGGCTTTCACCCGAACTTTGATCTTCCTTCTGGCGACGGAGATCTCTCATGGCCTTGAACCTTAAATCTTCGGTATAGGTGCCTGTTTCTGGTATCAAGTCAGGAACAGTCATTCGGCCTTCAAGCATGTTTACCACCTCAGACATGCTAGGCCTAAGTGATGCAGATGCATTTGTGCACAACAGAGCTACTTTAACCATGAGTTCCGCTTCTTCTTTTTTGACTTCAGACCTTAACCTCTCATCAAGAAGTGCCATCAAGTTTCCAGTTTGTTGCAAATGGCAAGCCTGAAATATAGAATCATATATTCATATATCTAGTCATATTTCAATATAGGATAAACCTGCAAACTTGTACAGAAAGTGGACTACTAAGAGAAGGGAATTAGGCAAGTACCCAATCTAAGAGACAAACAAACTTTTCACTTGGCATAAAGTTATTGGTATTCTTCCCAGTAACAATTTCCATTGCTACAACTCCAAAACTGTAAACATCTGCTTTGTGTGTCAGGTGGCCCCATAATGCATATTCTGGTGCCATATATCCTCTGCACATAAAGACTGATGTTTTACCCAAAGCATGGTCTTTATGCAAGTATATTAAGTAGACACAAAAAGGTGGAAGTTTCTTGTACTGAAGGTATGGAAACTCACATGGTTCCAGCTACTCGGGTAGTGATGTGGGTCTTCTCCTCTTCATCAAGCCTAGCCAATCCAAAGTCAGATATTTTAGGATTTAAATCACTATCCAGAAGCACATTAGTAGCTTTAATGTCTCTGTGAACAATCTTGAGTCTCGATTCTTCATGCAGAAAAGCCAGACCTCTAGCTATACCAACACAGATCTTAAGCCTTGTAGCCCAGTCTAGTTCGAGCTGATTGTTTTCTGGACCTACATATTACCCCAAGAAAGATGCCTTACCAGATTTAAATCTTATCAATGTGTAACATGATCATCAGTTAATCATGTCTTGATCTATAATAGTTACAAAGAGAAAATATGCATGAGTGCATGATGCAAAACTCACCAAACAAAGCACGGGCAAGGCTATTGTTCTCCATGTACTCGTACACCAGTAGCAATTGATCCCCCTCAACACAAAATCCATGAAGCTTAACAAGATTTGGGTGTTGCAAACAAGATATCATCCCAATCTCATTAAGAAATTCACGATTTCCTTGCCGTGATTTAGAGGAGAGTTGCTTTACTGCAATCTTGGTACCATCAGGCAACTGACCCTGCACTATGACTTATTAGATTCTCATATGTTGAATAAAATCAGAATTAATATTATAACAGGATATTCACATAGCATTTTAGCTAGGCACCTTGTACACAGGACCAAAACCACCTTCGCCAATCTTGTTAGCAGAATCAAAGTCATCTGTGGCAACTTTAATCTGTTTCAAAGTGAAAGTCCCTGATGGCATGTCCTCTTTGGTATCTGTCCAAGAAAGATCAAAAAAGTATGAGCTTGTTTCATAGTTCCTTAAATTATAAAAATAAATCATTTCCTGAATTTCACCTAGGGTACCTAACATGAGTATTGACTACAAACAGAATTTCCTTATGGCTGTCTGTTGCTAATTATTTAGATTGCACTATTTTCATGAGAGCAAAGCTACAATAACTTGAACATAAAGATGGTGTAACCTGCATAAGTGGGAAGTAAGCAAGAGAATTCTACCTGTAGAATGTCTATAAATGCAATGAATCAATTTACAAGTAAAAAATGACCAACAGAAATAGAGGCTGTACCTTCTTTCCTCCAATATTTCCCAAGCAAACAGCCTTTCCACCAAAGAATGCCCAGTATGAAGAAGACAAGGCATGCTCCTAGAACCCCAACAACAAAGATATAAGCAGTTCCCTTGTTTCTTCTATTTGAGCAAGGTTTAAAATCTGCCCAACACAGTGATGTTCATTAATAAGGCAGAATCAAAAAGGCCAAGCAGAAATCTTTTTTCTCCACTTTTACCTTTCTTTAAAAGAAATTTTGTACTTGCATATTTGTTTTTTGGGGAAGGGTAGCCTTAAAATAAGAAATACATGTGCTCAAGGTGAAAAGGAAAGATCATGCAATCTGATAGCATACCAGAAACTACAGAAATAGCTGAGACAAGTGGCCCATAGACACTTCTTTCAGGAATCCTTGTTGTACCTTTGCCAGCCCAATAGAATCGTATCTCCAAGAAATTATTTGTCACACTTACCTTAGAAACTTGTTTAACTAAAGGCTTTTGAGTACTCTTGGCCTCGGATTCAATATTGAAGTCTTTCCACAATAATTTTTCCTGGCACAAATGCATATTAATGTACCCTCAGTTTGCAACTTCAGAAAAAGTACGTATTTTCAAAAGCATGTTTAATTAATCACCTGAACATAAATGTCAAATATACGCCTACCAAGGCTGCTATATGTTTCATCAGGAGTAAACTCTATCTCTGCAAAATTGAAAGTTATGGTGTAATTTCCATTCTCCAAGCAATAATGGAAATAAGTGAGCGATATTGGAGCTATACGGGCTGTTTTGTACAGTTCTGAGATGTTTAACAGTGGCTTTGATACAGTGTAACGTTTATTTTGGTAATCATTATCATCCATGAAGTCTCCCGTGCTACTAAATCCCCAGTAATTATCATCTCTAATATAATATTTTGCCGTACCACCTTCAATGTCACCATCTCCTTCATATAATAAGTTTGATTTATTTTCCTTGATCCTTGTGTCCTTTCCACCACAATTAACATGTAAACAATTCGAATCTGCCACAGAGGAAATAATTTGGTATTAAAGAAAGAAATAAGCTCAATAACGTATTTAAGGAAATGCAACATAAAGTCAAATTCTTGTACAGCTATTTCATGAAATGTTATATCAAACTCAACACCACTGTAATATGATTATTCCATAAATCAAGTACTCCTTAATGAATGTAGATTTGGACTCATCAATCTTTTCTTAGTCTATTTTACCTGTGTTCTTCATGTATGACAATTTCAGGCAAGCTAACAACAGTTTGAACTCTCTATTAAAAGTATTTCCAGATAAACTATTGAGGAATTGTAAGATAAAGTATACCAAGATTGACAATTTGCCAATTCATACAAACATGTAAAAAAAAAAATTACTTATTTATCAATGAGTCATAGGGTGCGTATAAGTACTAAAATATTTTTCTAAAAGTAGCTATCTGTTTGAAATCAGTGCAGTGGAGATAAGAGAAGCTAGGAGAGAGATGACACTAAACATTTTAGCAATGGGTCACTTCATATGAAAGAAATCTGGGTTAAAAACCTAAAATGCAACTTGCAAGCAGTCAATCCAATATGGTAATAAAGTTAAGCACACTAAAATGACTAGCAGTTCATGTATTCCAACTCCTAAAGGAGACAACTTACATTGAGGACAGTTCAAATCCTTCTTGCATGGAAGAGCTCCCCTACTGTTACAGAATTGAGGACAGAAAATTGTTAGCACAAGGCTTGAACAGTACGAACACAAGACCTTCTTTTACGAAGCCACCAAACACTTAAAAGAAAAAATAGTACGAAGAAAAAAGAGAAAGAAAGAGAGTGAAAACTCTTACAAATTGTTCCTTGATGAAGAGCTACGAAACAAGTTTAAGTTCAGATTCCTAAGGACAAAAGATGAAATAATTGTTAGCTCCAGATGATGTCAAAGATGAAAGTATAAAGGAAAGAATAAAATAAAAGTAGTCTGACATGTTCTCCTGACAACCAGGTTTCTCAGGGCCTTGCCATGTGAAGTCATTGTATGAAAGATCACTGCATCCAAGCGCTGACAATCAGTATAAATTTCCACAGCAAAGATGAGAATGAACTTGCATAACACTATTTGATTATTTAGAGATATCTTTTTTTACCCTCTTCATTTTTTCCCTTTTTTTGATCCATTGGATAGGAGATGAGGGATGGTGGGGTTCAAACTCCCACCATATATGCCTTCCTAAGCCTTCTTAACCATTAGGCCAAGAAGCTGAAGACTCTTTTTCCCCTTGGAGTGTTATGAGCAGTGCGCTTAGAAAAGGAAAGAAATGGAAATATGATAAGAAGGATCACAGACAGAAACATACATGCTAGTTCCTTGCTTCAATATAGAATCTGGCACATCTCCACTTAGCATGTTGCCACTTAAAAAGCTAATAAAAACCCACTTCAGATGGTCAGTATGTCATTTCAATTAGAATAACAGAAAGAATCAAATTATCTCTAATTTAAAATTTTAATTTCACATATCAATGTCAGTTTTTTAAGTGATTCTGGACTGCAAAACAAGTTTAATGTTAAATCTCTGTTACAATTGTTCTTATCCCTAAAACCATGAACGTGACTTTCTATTTGTGCACATACACCAATATTTTCTAGCTTATACAATAAAGAAGCTCAAACTGCTTATTCAGAATCTTGAAACAATCTTTTTCTGCAGTGAAGTCCGAATGAGAGCTAAATGCAGCCATAATTTCAAGTTAATACTTACACAAATCTCAGACGATCTGCACTTATGCTGGTTGGAATTTTCCCAACTAGTTTGTTGAAACTGACATCCCTGTTGCAATAGTGTGATAATTTTATGACAGTGCTTCAAATTTTCAAACATGATTTTACAAACTAGGAGTCTCCAAAAGACAAAGCAGTAAGTAACTGGCTTTTTGAATCAAAAGGATATGAGTTCATTGCCGGTAATAACTTGGTGATAAAAATCTATTCAAGAAGGTTCTTGAGGCAGAGTTTGACCAAATAAATAATAGAGACCTCTAATCTAGAATATTATCTCCAAGGAAAGTAAGAGGGAATAAGTCATGAACCTTGCTTTCACAATACATGCCTTAAGCAATCTTCCTCAATCAAAATAGATGCAAACTAGACAATAATTAAGACCAAAAAACAAAGAAACCAGACATGTTTTTGACATGCTTATCCTTTGTAAAAGTGCCTAACATTTTAGTGCATGGTCTTCTAAGTGCTGATTATATCCTAGGCAACCTTTGGCCTTTTGATATATCCTTACTTATAAGCCTGATACTTGCTGAATTTCTATTTAAGCAGAAAGACCATGACTTTTTCAGCACAACACTTGCATAAGATATAATGTCTTTACTTTGTCATACGAAAAACCACGGTCTACAGTTAGAGTGGTCGTTAATTGAAAGTTATTAAGGTAATAATTTTAGTTTGTTAAAAAGAGAATGATGGACTTATCCATGTAGAATCAAAGGACAGATACATTCATAAAATTAATACTAATAATAATAAATATATTCCCTCTTTATGAGTGCTCTTTGAAAAAGAAAGTAAATGCAAACAGCAGAAGGTAAAGAAACTTTTTGCCCTAAAACCTTGCGCATGCTTTACTTACAACATTTCCAGATTCTTCATTGCCCAAATGTATGCAGGGATCTCTCCCAAAATATTACAATTCCTCAAAACCCTAAGAAAATATAACCGGATCACATTTAGTCAAAATGGATAATATATAGATGGCACCTTCAATATATTTGATGATGTGAGAACTAAACATACAATCTTACTATGCCTGTCATGTTTCTGACCATAGGAAAACCCTGATTTGGCCCATTTATATCACTAATCCTCCTGCACAAAAGATAAGTCCAGCATTCACAAAGCCATCGGTGAAAAACGAAAAAGTAGCTGTGCAATATAAAGCCAATGACTACAAGTAAAGGAGGCATTATACTCACAGCTCAATTAAATTACTCAAAAGAGATAAGTTTGTTGGTATTGGTCCCTCGAGTCCACTGGCATGCATTTCTCTGTAACAATTCAGAATAAGTATAATTATAAGAAAATAAATAAATATATAAGTGTGTGTGTGTATAAATATATATATATATATATATTCAAGATCAGAAATAAATAAGGATCTTACAGTCTTTTGAGTTGTTCCCATTTTTGTATGAAACTAGGTATGGTTCCATTGAAATTGTTATCATTTATCCTACTGCAGTATACAAAAAAATATTGTTGGTCCAATGAACATATCTAGATATATGGCTTAAAATAAAGGCAAATTTGAAGAAACTTACAGATCAGTTAGATTTCTTAGCAAAGCAAATGTCAATGGCAAGCTCCCAGTTAACTCATTGGAGGATAGCATCCTGAAATTACAATAAACATAAGAAAACACATCATTTAATGTTGAGGGCAAGTAATATAACATGAAATTAAAAGAATTACAAAACATCAAACAAGGAAGAAGGAAAAGAGACTTCATTTTGTCTTACAATGTTTTCAAGTTCGCTAAATTCCCAAGTTCAGGTGGTACAGCACCAGAGAATTGGTTTGCTTCAAGACACCTGATTTAAAAAAAAATACCGAACATCCTTCATAAATTTCCTATTGAATGAAAAAGGAATATGAAAAACACCTATAGTTTTGCAGGTCCTATAGCTATACATCTAATAAAACGCAGAGTTTGCTAGTCTGATTTTGCATCATGAATTCAATTTCAAGGACTCCAATCACCATAAAAATCTCAAAATATTAACTAAAAAAGAATAATTAACCAATGTTCAGAACATACAGATATGTAAGAGTGGTAATATTTCCCAGGTGCTTTGGAATTTCCCCTGACAAGCGATTTACAAGAACAGAACTGCACAAAAACTTTCTGGTTAATTTATTATAGGAGAAAAAAATTATGTTAAAAATTTAAAAAACTTACATCGAAGTCAACTTCATTGAAGCCCATTCACTTGGAATGGTTCCATTTAGGTAGTTGTAAGCAAAATCACTGCAATAAAAAGTAAGATTACTTAGAGCAGTTATCTACTATTGTTCTAGAGTACTGCACAAATATTTAGCATGTAAAATATAAACATCACAGTAAATGATTTCAAAAGCTCTTACATTTCTAGAAGGTAAGGAAGCTTAACCAGTTGAGGAGGAAGTATTCCAGGAAGGTTATAACCCTTGAGCATTCTAAAATACATAAGCCATGCCATATTAGTATGTACAACAACCAACATAACTAAACAACTATTGATACTAATTGCCACTCTAAGGAAATCATAAACATAAATTGCTTAAATAGATATTCAAATGGTTTTACCGTGGTCATTGATTTTAAGGGGGAATGCATATATGTATATGGAAGTCATGCCTCAAAAGCAAAATCTAGGCAAATATCAGCTACTTAGGTTACAACGGCCAAAACTACCCTCAAGTGTTAAGTCATTGGCAACCACCACAGATTCAACTTAATTAGAACCATGCAGAACGAAACTGGAGATATAGAATAGAATAACACTTGATCAGATAGCAAGAGGAAGGAATAATACATCCTTACGATGTGACAAACAGTGCCGTTTGTCTCACATTCACAAGAGATCTCATGCTCTGAATTCTTTGGTGGCACTTGTGTTACACCAACCATTTCAACTTTACATGAATCACCATTAAATTTCCAGTATGTTGAGCCCATTGCAGCAGTAATCTCTTGCAAAGCATCAACTGGAAGACATCCATAGTTCCATAAGCATCGCATCATAATATATCAATACAAAAATGAATAAAAAAATGAGCAAGCTTCGTTCCTTAACATATGATAAATTTAACTTCCATACTAGTATTGCATAAAAAGGAGATGACAAACTTTTGAAGAAATGACAGTTTTAGCGTCATTTTTTTAGCATGAAAATGGGTATTTCAGCAATTAAGTTTAGTTAGCATGAAAGAGGTGACAATCAATACCATTTACTTACCATAAACAGATACTTTGTTAATGAGTCCTAGAATATACAGCAGCAAGATCCTATTAGGTTCTAGTTTAGTTAGCTTAAGAAAAAATAAAGAAAACCAGCAACATTTCACTAAATAAATCAGTAGAAAAGCAAGAAAAAGATAAGTTCTTGCAAGGGTTTTAATTTGAGGAACAACATCCAACAAAAATTAAACCTTGCTAAAACTTCAATTTCTTTCTACTTTCCGTTTCATTTTTTCAGCAATAAAAAAATACCGATTTTCCTACATTCTCCCATCAACCAAATGAAACTACCAAAAACAAAAATAAAATCTTTTACTCTGACTCACCTTCTTCTTGGGGCACCTTTGATTCAGCAAATCTAAGCAACCTGAAGCAACCCATTGCAATAATCAAGAAGACAAAAAGTTTCTTAGTAACCATGATGACAGAGGCACAGAACTTTAAAGGTTGTAGCTTTCAGAGAAACTGTGAGAATCTGTTCACTCGATCCAGCTTTGAAGCCTCTCTAAAACAAGTTGCTGTAAAAGTAATAATTAATGGAAGTAAAGTTAGAGACTTTACAAATCCAAAAATTCCCAGATAAAGGAATTTGAAATACTGGTTTTTATTGCATCTAACCAAATACTAATACTTCAAAAAGTATTTACTTAGTATAGTATATTTTTAACTGTTTATACTTATACATGGGAATGAAAAGTTTTTGTCTGAAAATATCGGGAATCTTTAACAGTGTGATAGGTTACTTGTCTCTATCTATCCCCGTCCCCTTCGTATTATTCAATTTTGATTGCTGCAGTAAAACTTTCGTACATTTGTAAGGTACTATCTTTATTGGGCTCGCTGAAAACCTGGAGAATTTTCAGTGTGCCAGAGTGTTGCTTCTTCCAGTTAAAGTCGTGCAATTTGGCTGACTTTTGTATTTCTTGATCATCGTTTAAATTTTGAAAATAAAAAAAAATTGAACACTTCATAATTTTATAACCTCACAGATGAATATAATAGTTAAACTCAAAATTATTATCTCCTATTGGCTGCAGTTAGCAATGGGCAGTGGTGGCCAATGCGCCCGCTGATTCATTGTGCCTGTTGATAATTAGTTAAATTTTCACGTTTTTTATTTCTAAACAAAGATTGGGTGTTTAATTTAAGACGCAGCCATGAATGAGTCTAAGCACGGAACCACCTTTTGCTTCTTTAAGCGAGTTTGAATCGGGCATAGTTTCAGTCATATCTATGATCTAAGTTAGGCATAGAACCAAACTTTTTGTTCCTTAATTCGCTTGCAAAAGTAATTTATAACGTGTCACTATGAATTTTTTATTTTTATTCACAAAACATATAATTTTAGTATGTAAATCTCTCCTACTCAAATTAAGGTGAGAATGATGCACGTCAGTTGGCACCGGCCGGCGATAGGCATTGATTTTGATAGTAGCACGTAAATTTTGGTTCATTGACTAGAGTCAACACTTCAATATCAAGGTACTTCAATATCAAGGTAGACATCAGTTTACCATTTTTAAATTATAATAATTGGAATTTTGAGCCTACAACCATTGATCTCACCAAAGGTGAATAACCCAGTTGACTCTTTATTCCTTCTTCAAGAAAGGCTGCTTCTTCATTGATTTCTCAACAAATAATAATAATAATTAATTAATGTTCATCAACGACCAGGTCCGTACAAGAAATATAAAAAAATCCTGGAATCTCGATAGGTGAAAAAACGCAGCTGAATTGCGATGACCAGCCCCGGTAACAATGGTTTTGATAAAATCCAAGTTGAGCAATTGGGAAAAAGTTCACTTATGGTACCAAATCTTTTATTCTGATTTCATTTTGATCCCTAATCTCTCAATTTTTTTTTCATTTAAATTCTTTATTTTTCCAAGCCAGTTTAATTTTAGTCTTGCCATGTAAGGTGACACATCAAATGCTCTACGAGGATTCACGTAAGTAATTACGTGGCAACTCTATTAGTTTTAACTAAAGAATTTGATGAAAGGATCAAAATTAGACTAATTTAGAAAGATTACGGATTTAAATGAAACAATTAAAAAAATTAACGACCAAACTGAAACCAAAATAAAAAGAGTTGAGACTGAAAGTAGACTTTACCTTGGAGAAGTTATAAATTGGGTCAATTTCTGAATATCGCAGAGGATAGGAGCTGTGAAATGGACTAAAGATTCGTCAAGCTAACTACTTATCAATTACATAAATTTGTTATTCAATTGCTAAATATATAATATGAATAGATAAAAAGAAGTTCTAAATTGAAGAATTATAATTTTTTTTTGGTTAAAAGAACAAAAAAATTACCATTTCTTCTTATTAAATACAAAAATTTGTTATCCTGTTACTTGATATATTTGGTGAGCAAAGAATAGAGACATATATTAAAAGTAAAGACATTCAGGATAAGTGTCACGGACTAAACTTTCTCTCAACAAGTAATAGATCGTATGGCACTTGAATGGGCGCTTCCAACCAAGTCAGCCTTTAATAGATCGATATCTGAACAAATAATCATAAGCTATGGTTAGTCACAAGCATTCACAATAAGGCACGACATATCGAGATCAATGTCAAGCACACACACAAGAAGGCATATTAGCATCGAGAAAAAGAAAAACACATCGAGGCAACAATCGGAACATTCAATCGGGGTGAGTTTTATTATAAACGGGAATCATACATCAGGACCTCCCACCGTCACCAGGGCCAGGGGGCAGCCCTTGGTGGGTGGTCTAAGCTCGTATAGCAACCGGTGAGACAGCCCAATACTATGCTGCCGGCTCACCTCCCTAAAGAGCCTTAGAGATTTTAGAGCTATGCTACCCGTAACCATTACAATGTTTGAAATGGGGACACTTTTCCTAGTACAACGGATCTACCCGGTAATGGCCCTATACATGGGTGGCTCATGGCAACCTAAGTCCCGGTTATAGCCCTATACAAGGTTGGCTCATGACATCCTCCCCCCACCTATTCTATCGACGTCCTCATCGACTTGCTGGCTTGAAATTCTTCAATCTTCCTTTGAAATCTCTGGAGGTCGTGCTCTCTCTCCCAACTGGTTTCTTCTAGTCCTAATCCCTCCCACTTCACTAAGTATCCCGAACTAGTCTTCGAGATATCTTGGTTTCCCTGTCAGCTAAGATCTCTTCGACTCAATGCTTGAGGGTGGCTTCATGGTGATGGCGGCTCTGGTTGGCTCCCTTCGGCTAGCATTTATAGGATCTGCATGGAAAGGTTTCAGGTTGCTCACATGAAATAGTGGGTGCACCTTTATCCACTTTGGTGGATCAATTTTGTAAAAAGCATTCCCCACCTTGGAAAGGACCTTTACTGGACCTTCATATTTGCGCACCAGTCTACGATCTCTCTTTCTCAGGAACCTGGTTTGTTCAGGAACTAGTCAGACAAGAACCAAATCACCAACTTGAAATTGTTGAGCTCTACGACCCTTGTCTGCCCATTTCTTCATCCACTTTGATGCTTTCTCCAAGTAGACTTGCGCAATCTCTGTGTTTTGTTTCCACTCTTTGTTGAGATTGAAGGCTCTCGGATTCTTTCCTCCATATTATTCCAAGGAAGTGTGGGATAGCCTTGATAATTGTCCGGTGACCATCTCAAATGGGCTCTTGTTGGTGGAAGAGCTTTTATTGGAGTTAAAGCAGAGTTGAGCCACGTCCAATAATGAAGGCCAGTCTTTCTGATTGGCTTGAACAAAATGCCTCAAGTATTCCTCTAATAATCCGTTGAACCGTTCCGTTTGACCATCGGTTTGAGGGTGATAGCTTGAGGAGATGTTGAGTTGGGACCCCAATATCTTGAAAAGTTCTTTCCAGAAGGACCCCGTAAATCTCGGATCTCGATCGCTGACAATGTTTTGAAGGAGGCCCTAGTATTTGACCACATGTTTGAACAATAGTCGAGCTGTGTCTTCCGCAGTGCAATACTTGTGAGCGGGAATGAATGTTGCATACTTAGAGAACCGATCAATTACTACCAAAATAGCTCCAAGGTCACCAACCTTGGGTAGGCTCGAAATGAAATCGAGGGAGATGCTTTCCCACGGTCTGGTGGGTACTGGTAGTGGTTCAAGCATGCCTGCAGGTTTCCTATTTTCAACCTTGTCTTGTTGGCAAATGAGGTAAGTCTTCGTGTAATCCATCACATCTTGTCGCATGTGAGGCCAATAATATCCCTGTTTCAATAACGCCAAAGTGCGTTGCCAACCCGGGTGTCCCGCCCATGGTGTGTCATGACATTCCCTCATTAGCATCTGTCTTAGACCTTCTGCTCTTGGCACAAACACTCGAGGTCCCTTGATCCATAGGACCCCATTTTCTTGCCAGAAGTACTTAGACTTCCCTTCGTCCACTAGCTTCATGATGGCACAAGCTTGCGGGTCCTTCCTTAAGTGATCTCTAATCAACTTGTGAATGTCTGTAGTGGCTCTACTAGCCACCATTGGGGCAATTCTTCTAAGGGCCGCTAGATCTGCTCGCCTACTCAATGCATCGGCCACTTGATTGGTCTTTCCCGCGGTGTGCTCAAAACAAAAGTTGAATTCCCTAAAAATTCCTGTCACCTAGCTTGTTTTACCGTAAGCCTTAGTTGGGTGAGAAAATGGCTAACGACTGTATTGTCTGTCTTCACGACAAAGTGTGAACCCAACAAGTAATGTCGCCAAGCCCTCAAGCAGTGAACCACCGCCACGAGTTCTTTTTCCTGGGCCGTATATTTTCTTTCAGCTTCACTTAGCTTCCTACTTTCAAATGCTACCGGGTGATGTTGTTGCAAAAGCACTCCTCCAATAGCAAAATCGGATGCATCCGTCTGAACTTCAAAGGGCTTTTCAATATCAGGGAGAGCTAAGATGGGATCCTTCATAATAGCATCCTTCAATCCCTCGAAGGCCTCTTGGCACTCACTCGTCCAACACCATTTACGCTCCTTCTTCAATAGTTTCGTGAGGGCCGTGATCTTGCGAGAGTACCCTTCCACAAACCTTCTATAGTAGTTGGCTAGTCCCAAAAATGAACGGAGTTCACTAACGTTCTTTGGTGTTGTCCACTCCTTGATGGCTCTAACCTTTTCCATGTCCATTGTGGCCACGTTCGACAATATGACCAAGAAAATGGATTTGGGTCTGAGCTAATGCACACTTCTCCCTTTTTACGTATAACTGGTGATCATGTAATCTTTGAAGTACCTGGCGCAGGTGCTCTTGATGCTCTTCCAAGGTGGAGCTATATACCACTATATCGTCTAAATAGATGACTACAAATTTGTCTAGGTAGTCATGGAACACCTGATTCATCAATGTACAAAATGTGGCAGGAGCATTGGTCAGTCCAAAAGGCATAACAAGAAATTCAAATACACCATACCGTGTCACACAAGTGATCTTTGGCTTATCTCCCTCAACGATTCTGACTTGATGGTAGCCAGATCTCAAGTCCAATTTGGAGAAGTACTTGGCCCGGCTCAATTGATCAAACAGGTCTGCTATAAGGGGAATGGGATATTTGTTTCTTACGGTGACTTTGTTCAAGGCCCTGTAGTCAACACATAATCGCAAACTTCCGTCGTGCTTCTTTTGAAATAGCACCGACGCTCCGAAATGAGCCTTTGACGGTCTAATGAACTCGGCTTGTAGCAGCCCATCTAACTGTTTTCTTAGTTCAGCCAACTCTGGCGGAGCCATGCGGTAAGGCGCTCTAGCAGGGGGTTTCACTCCTGGGAAGAGTTCAATTTCATGGTCCACTGCTCGTCGAGGGGGTAGAACTTTAGGCAACATCTCTGGCATCACCTCTTCGAATTCTTCCAACACTTTTCCCACACCATCAGGTATTGGTTCTACTTCCGACCCTTCTTTGTAAATCGGCACCGCCACAAAGAGGGTTCTCCTCTCTTCACCCTTTTCTTGAACTGCAAAGTTGAAATCATTTTCTTCCCACTCTTTGTTAAGATGTTGGCTGGCACCACACATGGGTGTTCCCCTAAGAACAACAAGCAGCTAGCGGCAGGGATAGGGATGACCTGAGCCAACATCATGAAGTCCAATCCAAGGACAACATCAAAGTCATCCATGGGGGAAACTGTAAAGTCTACCTTCCCTTCCCATGGCCCCAATCGGGTTGTCACACTTTTGAAGCTTCCACTGATCGCAAAGGCTGGCGAATTGACCGCCTTCATTCGTCCACAGTCTTTACTAATCTGAATACCACACCTTTTTGCTTCTTCTGGTGTGATGAAAGTGTCGGTTGCACCCGTATCCACCATGGCCTTGGTGGCTTTCTCATTAACCGTCAAGTTCACGTACATCAAGCCTCTACTTTGCTCTTTCTTTATAGTGTTCAATTGGGTGCGGAGGGCATTGAGGAACCTTATTGAACCCATCCTGGTTGGCTCCTCTTCAGCTTCTTCAACGCTCTCTGATGCTTTTACGGACTCTTGAGATGAGGTCCTTAAGGCATTAAGGGCTCCCCGGTGCGGGCATTCAGCCACTCGATGCGACCCCTTGCAAAAAAAGCAAGCTAGCGGTTGCCTAGGCTTGAAAATCCCTGCGTTGCTTGTCTTGGGCTGGGTGCTATCTCGACCAAAGGACCTCCTATCTGATCCCCCACTGAAGGGTTAGTCCAACCTAGTCATCTTTCCCCACTCCCAAAGTTAAAGCTATTGCCAGTTGATGGAGGATTTTTCCGTTTTGAAGAGCCATCATTGTAATCGTGAAGACGTTCAGCTGCAGTCATGGCCGTGGCCACATCTTGCACTTTCTGCCTTTGTAGTTCTGTCCTCGCCCAAGGCTTGAGGCCTTAAAGAAAATAGAACATCTTGTCCTTTTCGGACATGTCCCGAATATCTAGCATCAGGGTAGAAAAGTTCCTTACGAACTTTCACACCGTTCCAGTTTGCACCAACTCTCGAAGTCTCCTTCGAGCCATATACTCCACATTCTCCAAAAAAAACTGGTTTTTTAATTCTCGCTTCAGATCCGTCCAAGTCTTAATCAGGCACTCGTCATCGACAAACTTGGAGCGCCACCACAGCTTGGCATCCCCTGCGAGGTACATCGACGCCATTTTCACCTTGTCTTCCTCTGAACTTGTGTGTACAGCTCGAAAGTATTGTTCCATGTCAAACAAGAAATTTTCAAGTTCCTTAGCATCCCTTGCCCCTTCATAGCATCGAGGCTCCGGCACCTTGGGCCTTTGTCCCCTGTCCATCGAGCTCGAACCCGATCTGGCCACTGCCATTTGTAGGATGCTCACCTGTGCTCTGAGCTCCTCAAACTCCTTTTGGAGAATGTTCAAGGCATCTCTAGCCTCTTCGCTCACATTGTGGAGAGTAGCGGACAACTCCCGCTGGGTTGTTTCAATCTCCCTCACTCGGTCTTTCGTCACCATATGAGTTTTCATTACGGCCACCGCGGCCTCAAGTTCCTCAATTCTCTGTTGATGATCCGGTCCACCACTTGTGGCCATCTCATCCATTTTTCTAGCACTTCTCAACCATGCTCTGATACCACGTGTCACGGACTAAGCTTTCTCTCAACAAGCAATAGACCGTGCGGCACTTGAATGGGCGCTCCCAACCAAGCCAGCCTTCAATAGATCGATATCTGAACAAATAACCATAAGCCATGATTAGTCACAAGCATTCACAATAAGGCACAACATATCGAGATCAATCTCAAGCACACACACAAGAAGACATATTCGCATCGAGAAAAAGAAAAAAACATCGTGACAACAATCGGGACATTCAATCGGGGTGAGTTTTATTATAAATGGGAATCATACATCGAGACCTCCCACCGTCACCAGGGCCAGAGGGACAATCCTTGGTGGGTGGTCTATGCTCACATAGCAACCGGTGAGACAGCCTAACACTACGCTGCCGGCTCACCCCCTAAAGAGCCTTAGAGATTTTAGAGCTATGCTACCAGTAACCATTACAATGTTTGAAATGGGGACACTTTTCCTAACATAAGGGATCTATCCGGCCATGGCCCTATACATGGGTGGCTCATGGCAACCTAAGTCCCGATCATGGCCCTATACAAGGTTGGCTCATGACAATAAGCCTCAAATTGGCCACAAACTTTACATCTATATGCATTTGTACAACAGGATTGGATGTATTAAGGATCATGAGTAGATATTGTAGATTTCTGGCTTTGCATGGCTTTAAACCTTAAATATGCTCCTCATTGGCTTCATTGATTTCATGAGCAGAAGCAGAGGAAGATTCAAATTGGGATTCTGTAGATGTTGAAGTATGGACCTGACTTCCTCCGAAACTGTGTCCATACATAGAGCTACGATGGTCTCTTATGGCTTTAAACCTCAAATCTTCACTGTAACTACTAGCGTTAGGGATGACATCAGGGATGGTAATTGTTCCTTCCAGCATTCCCACCACTTCAGACATTGTTGGCCTCAGAGACGGCGAAGCATTTGTGCATAAGAGAGCTACTTTAATCATCCCTTCTGCTTCTGACTTGTTATATTCAGATCCCAGCTCAGTATCCACCAACTCCAATAACTTTCCACTTTGCTGTAAATGACAGGCCTGCAAAAAGCATAAAGACAATAATAATGAACTTAATTGTATCTAAAATTTGGATAAACACTGATACAGATTATCCATTGATTCTCCACAATTTTAACTTTCTTAACAAGCCATTCAGGACACAGCAGACAAGAATCAAAGAAACAAAGGCAGTTATGCTAGTATATGAAATCAGATACATAGGATTCAGAGGTAGAACTAGAAAGTGCTACATGAAGACCTAACAAAATGGAAATGCATATCAAGGAAAACAGGAAGAAGAAATAAGGTATATAAATTAGTGATTACCCAATCCAGAAGGCAAGTATATTTATCCACTGGACCATAATTCATATTGTGCTTCCCACTTACAAGCTCTAATGCCACAATTCCAAAGCTGTAAACATCAGCCTTGTAGGTCAAATAACCCCACAGTGCATATTCTGGTGCAATATATCCTCTGCATTTAACTTTAGCAATGTAATTTACATTTAAAGTTCAAAGGAAACTTTTAAGCTAGAACAACATTGCAAGATAATAGTTGGCTTACATGGTTCCAGCAATTCGTGTGCTGATGTGAGTTTTTTCCTCCTCATGAAGCCTGGCCAATCCAAAGTCAGATATTTTAGGATTGAGGTCTCTATCAAGCAGAATATTGGTACCTTTGATGTCTCTGTGGACAATTTTGAGTCTAGACTCTTCATGGAGAAACGCTAAACCTCTAGCTATTCCAACACAAATCTTGTGCCTGGTAGGCCACTCCAGATTTATTCGAGTGTTCATGGGTCCTAAAGATGATCATCCCAAGAAATATTCCACAAGTTAAATCAATCACAGCCAACCTCCTTAAAGATTCCGTCACATTTTTCCACCCAATGAAATCAATCTGGCAAATAATTGTTTGTTAAACTTACCAAACAAAGCCCGAGAAAGGCTATTATTTTCCATGTACTCATATACAAGCAATAGTTGATTCTCGTCGATACAGCATCCATAAAGCTTTACAAGATTGGGATGTTGCAAACACGAAATCATGCCCATCTCATTCAAGAATTCACGATTTCCCTGACTTGACTTTGAAGAGAGCTGCTTGACAGCAATTATTGTTCCATCAGCTAGCTGACCCTGTCATTCAATCATGAAAATGATTAGCAGCTCTAAAAGTGAAAATTCATATTAATTTGGGTTTCATTTGAAATATATTTAGCACGTATACCTTGTAAACAGGTCCAAATCCACCTTCTCCAATCTTGTTTACAGAATCAAAATTGTTAGTGGCAACCTTAATCTGCTTTAAGGTGAAAGAAACTGTTTGCAGATCTAGTCCCTTAAGATCTGTAAGTGGAAGAGAGGAAAAAATGCAGTAAGCAAGTTTGCTGGTCCATTGTATGTAGATTTATTTTCTTTTTGGAGAAAAGAGAAAGTAGAAGGCTGGAACTCCAATTAGTCCACAATGTTAATGGACGTTTACTAGTTAACATTCTTTATGAAAAGTACACAACTTTGGCAGGGAAAATTCCATTGGATGATTTAAAATTAAGGAATGGTTTGCCTATCTGAGATAGCATAAACCAAAATTTTTGGCATGAATTTTTCCAAAGAAATGACTTCTACTGGTGAAACAGCCCAAACCTTGTTCTCTCTGACTCGTGGCCTTAAAATAGTATCTCCAGCAAACAACACCTGATATCAAGAACAAGAGAAATGATCCTATGACACCAACAACAATCGGCAAAGTCTTTGTTTTCTTCTCATGCTGAGGTTTGAAATCTGCAAAAAGAACTCAACTCAGAAGTCCATTGTGCTAATCAAAGTTTAGCTTGAAATAAGAAATCTACCAAAAGAACTCAACTAAGAAATCCATTGTGCTAATTAAAGTTAAGCTAGAAATAAGTAAAAATAAAACCAATTCTCAATTATGCAATAGAAAAGGAGGGTGCACATAAGGATGAGGAAGAAGGGGATGATCACATACTGGGATCGACTGTGATGGCTGATATGAGGGGACCATGGACTCCTCGACTGGGAATTGCTTGAGTCCCCTTTCCAGCCCAGTAGAAACGGATCTCTAATTCACCATTTGTTACATTAGCATTATATTGTTTTGTTAGTGGGGTAAGAATCCCACCAGCTTCAGCTTCTATATTGAAATCTTCTTCCACCAGCTCATCCTACAGCATGAAAATTCAGTGACATGTATCTAGCAACTAATAGAGGCCAAATGGTATCTCAAGAACTAAGCTTAAAAACAAGGCACATGCTAATATGCCAGCCAAGTGCAATTCACTGGACAAGCACTATTCTTCTGATGGCCACGTTCAATAGTCAGAATTCCTTCTGAAGAAGCTAGTTCTCAAACGTGATAAATTACCTGAATATAAATGTTGAAAATTCGCCTTCCAAGTCTTCCATATCTAGTGTTATTTATGATTTCAATCTCTGCAAAGTGTAGTCCCACTGAATAGCTCCCATTCTCTAAACAATATCGATAATAAGTTAGTGAAAGTGGAGATAGACGTGCTGTGGCATATAACCGGTTAGACATGCTTGCTGACTGCTTTAGATAACGTGATGCTGCATTCAGTTCATCATTGTCATCCCTGAAGTCTCCAGTGCTACTAAAACCCCAGTTATCATTGTTCTGATATAATGCTGCAGCACCACCTACACCAGATTTCGCATCTCCTACATACATTCTCCCATTGATTTTCACATCATAATTTGCACCACAATTGATATACATAGAATGCCAATCTGCCAGAGACAACTATATCAGCTTCATAGAAAGCAGCTGAAAACATTCTACCATGATAAAGTAGAAGTGAAAAGTTAATCATTAAATTACCCTTTTCTTGTTAACAGCTTGCCAACTATATATAAAAACATTATGGTAAATATTTACAAGAGGAATTTCCTCAGATATCAGCTTTAACTACATTAATAAACATATAAGTATGTTAGTATATTAATCCTAATATTTTATATCAAGCTGTCTATTATCCTTTAGTTAGGATTCCAGTCAATTAAGAAGTCATTTTTGAAGCAAGCTTGCAAATTGGAAGGCATGGATTTTGAGGTAAGTATTACACTTAGATTTCAAAGCAAAAGTAACAGTGTACTTACATTTCTGACATTTGAAATCACTCGTGCATGGAATAACTCCCCTTTTACTTTTAGGTCATGAAAAAGAAAAGCACCAAAAATAAAGGACAGATTAGCAATCAAATGAATGTTGTGTAGGATCATTATTCTACCACATACGCCCATTACAAGGAGTATATTCATTAAAGTTGACTAACTAATTCATAAAGCACCATTAATCCTACATCAGTTTCACATAGAAAACATATAAATGAAGTTTTAAAGCTCACATCCATCACTCCCAGCCCAATTGGTGCCCAAAAAACAGAAAGAGATTATGCTAAACCGGTCCTCTCAATGCATTAGCAGTCAATTCTATGGCCTTAGATGGAGTTGTAATCTACAATAAATATATCAAGAACCCAAGAACAGAAGCTTACAGGTATTCTGTTGAAGAACTGTGGAACAAATTTATGTTATCCCTATTAGAAAAGCAAAATGCAGTAGAAGTCAGTAACCCTACATCTCAGGAAAGCATACAGGAAGAATATGCTTCTACTCAATTCCAGGAAAAAGAAAAAGGAACTGACAATTTCCGTGTACAAGCAGGTTGCTCAGTGCTTTGCCATGTAAAGTTATTGTAGGAAAGATCCCTGAATGCAAGAAGGAAATAGAACTGTCTTCTCAGAGATCTCTGCATGTGAAGAATTGCACATGTATATTCCTCAGAAAATATAAGAATCAGAGAATCCTAGTAGAAAGTACATACACGGCAAGTCCTGTCTGCAAGATTGATTCTGGTATATTTCCACTGAGATTGTTGCCCGTCAAATAGCTGATACCGGTCTTATCAGTCAGTTTCATAGGAATTGCAGTAAGTCGATATCAAATGCTGCTTACAAGATTTCTGTCTATGAGGAAAAAAAAAAGAGAGAGAAACTTACAGGAATCTTAAATCCAGAGGGAGAGTGACATTGATAAGTTCCCCACTCAAATCGTTAAAACTGAGATCTCTGTCCAAATTCACAAGTAAAGTGTTAGTTCTTTCTGGTGCTAATGACATCAGCTGACAGTGCTTATGCTGTAAAACAATTATAAAACTTTAACCAAAGGAACAAAACTAAATCTAAATGATTAAGAACTCTTTTAGCTTAATTTTATACTACAACACTTATAATGAGCCAAACACAAAACATAAGTGAGAAATAATAATTTTTTGGCCAAGAACATAAGATAGAAGTATAGAGTGTTAGGCTACAAACCTCTATCCAATTAAGCCAGCGGAAGCATAATCAAACAATCAATCAATCACACAAGAGACAATAATTTAACGTGGCTCAGCCCAACCAGCCTACGTCTACGGATGAGAAACAAGATCTACTAATTGTAGAGAATTACAAACATACAAATCAAATCAAACACTCACTAATACCCATAGATCCTCTCAATTTCCTTAGTTGTAGAGAATTACAAACATACAAATCAAATCAAGCATTCACTAATACCCATAGACCCTCTCAATTTCCTCTAGTCCTATAAAGTAATTTCAACCTAAACAAACACAAACTCATGTACACCATTTCAACATAACCAAACACATACCTATATGCACCTATACATCATACCTATGTGGACCCTTTCAATCTCCTCTAGTCCACTCTCATGCACCATACAAACGTACACACCCATAAGACGTAAATCTCCAGTAGTCTTTTGTGGTGTCTATCTCATAAAACCTTATAATTCTTTTATCTTTTTCTCATACCCAACCCTGAAAAGACTTCTATCTATTTATAACCATACAAACTTGCCTCTTAAGAATCTTTTTCCTTTTAGAATTCTTCTTCTGCAAGTCAAACTTGACTATTAAAAATCTTTTTTTTTTTATAATTCTTCTTCTGTAAGTCTTCTTATCCATCAATTAATATATAACAAATCCCAAACAAATCTCTTATGAGATTTGAGTCATTATTCCTTGACTCAAATTCCATCAATCTTCAAGCTAGACATACTTGGCTCCACCTGTGATGAAAGTCTCACAATTATCTTCTCGTGTATCTTCACTCTTTACGCAAACCGATTCTCAATCTTCAAAACATGAATTCAAACTCTTCTCTTAAATCGAGCTTCTTTGGACTTACCTCTTCTCATGTCTCGTACCATGCTTTGATACCATTTGTTAGGGATCATCACAGATACCATTTGTTAGGCAAATAGCCTCAATCCAATCACACCAGCGAAAACGAAATCAAATAATCAATCAAGCACATATAAGAGACAATAATTTACCGTGATTCAATCCAATTGACCTATATCCACAGATGAGAAACAAGATCCACTAGTTGTAGAGAATTATAAACATATATCAAATTAATCTCACTCAATAATCAATACCCATAAACTCTCTCAATTTCCTCTAATCTAATCCTATCTTAATCCAAACAAACACAAACAAACACAAACCCATGTGCACTCTTTTAACACAAATAAAAACATACCCATATGTACCCATTCATCATACCTATGTGGACCTTCTCAATCTCCTCTAGTCCACTCCCATATACTACACAAACCTACACACCCATGAGACACACCCATGAGACATAAATCTCCAGTAGTCTCATGGGGTGTCTATCCCATAAAACTCTATGACCTTTTTACATTTTTTTTTCATACCTAACCCTGCAAAGACTTCACCTATTTCTAGCCATATAAACTTGCCTATTAAGAATCCCTTTCCTCTTAGAATTCTTCTTCTACAAGTCAAACTTGGCTATTGAGAATCCATTTCCTTTTAGAATTCTTCTTCTACAAGTCAAACTTTCCTATTAAAAATCTTTTTCCTTTTATAATTCTTATTCTGCAAGTCTTCTTATCCATCAAGTAATATCTAACAAATCCCAAACAAATCTCTTATGAGATTTGAGTCATTATTCTTAATATAGAGATCCACACTTGATCATGGCGTTGGAAGAGAGTTTACAAGTCAATAAATTCTAGTTAAGCGGAACTGATCAGCACTGCCTCTCCTGCAGTGCAGTAGGACTCCAGCTACATCCTATAGTCTCCTTATTTCTCCATCTTTTAAATTCATAATGCTTCTAAAAATCAAAATGTTTGAAACACAAGCAAATTCACTAATTTTTTTACTGAAGAATCATGTTTTATACTTACAAAACACGTAATTTACTCATTTGCCAGATCTCTTGTGGGATTTGCCCAACAATGTTGCATTTCTTCAATATTCTACAATGTCCAAGATCAGCCATGTCAGATGCAATGATAAAAAGGTTAACATCACATGCCTTCATAAAATAATAAACATTAAGCAGCAAATGTACATCCGATTGATTGCTGTCATGTTCCGAAGATCAGGAAAAGGTTGAGCAGTTCCATTTATATCACTGATTATCCTGTAAGTATGCCATTAAGAGCAAAAAGTTTAGCAACAATGTATTAACAATTTTTTGTCCATAATCTTCTGCTTAAAAGCTTTCACTTACAAGGTTAGTAAGTTTTCCAATGCAGAGATGGATGAAGGAATGGGACCTTCAAGTCCACTAGCCTGCATTTCTCTGGTTGATTCAATTAAGCAAAAACAATCAGTTCAAGAGACAAAATATAAGTTTTAAAGTCTCATAAACTTGAAAGACACTTAAAAACCTTTTCAAAGTTGAGTATCTTACAATCTTCGAAGTTTCTTCCAGTTCTGAATGAAAGCTGGTATACTCCCATTAAAGTTGTTATCATTTATCCTACTGCATTTTATTTTAAGAATTTTTACAACGTAAATTTCTGCCAAACTTCTTGCGACACATACTAGTATAAGTTAATGAAAACCTTACAAGTCCGTTAAGTTTTTCAGTTCAGCTAGTTGTATTGGCAACTTTCCGCTCAGTCTGTTAGAAGACAATCTTCTGCAAAGACATTTATAAACTTCATCTGTCAAAACTCAAAAGTTTGCTAATTATTCCTGTTTTTAAATGTATAACTCAGGAAAATAAAAATTTTATTCACAAAATGACTTACAAAGTTCCCAAGTTAACTAACTTTCCAAACTCTGGAGGGACTGCTCCCGAAAACTGATTTGCTTCAAGGTCCCTGTAAAGTACATGCATTGAAATTACTATAAATAAAAGTAACATCTGTCTTGATCTATTTAAACATTTGCATAATTTATCTAAAAGTCCTAAGAAGAGTGAAAAGCATATCATTTCATAACATAGCGTGAAACATAAAACTTATGGACTAAAAAGAACATAAATTTTGAAACATCTATCTCCTGCAAATTACAGCACTTTTAAACTTACAAGTATGTAAGGGTGCTAATGTTCCCCAAATAAGTTGGAATATTCCCAGATAATCGGTTTCCAAAGACAGAACTGCACTAAGGTTGCTCGGTTAGCTCCAAAAGAGAATAACTCTGCTTTCTCTTCACTTAAAGATTGTTCATATACAAGGAGACAATAACTTACATGAACTCAAGTTGCATTGTAGCCCATTCAGGTGGGATTGACCCACTGAGATAGTTGTATGCAAAATCACTGCATGCCAAATAAACTTAGGTTAAAACACATTTAACTTCTGACTTCTGACTGACCAAGAAAAGTAATGGAAGAGAAACAATTTAATTCATATATTTTCTTAAAGCATAAAAGGAAAGGGAAAAAAAAAAAAAACATCTCAGTCTTGGCTTGATTATTATCCTATTTTCTTAGAAATTCTACATATGCACCAAAAACAAAATTAAGAGAGAACTGAGAAAGAGTGCCGGGTTACTTACATAACTTTGAGGTAAGGAAGATTTATAAGTTTAGATGGAAGTACTCCTGGAAGGCTCTGAAGCCTGAATATTCTAAAAATCCAAAAGAAACCCAAATATCAGCCGTTTAATCCTTTTATAAATTGTTTAAAACCCAGACTCCTTATTGCTTGCTTGTTTTTCATTTTTCTTTTGAACAAAGACTTTGTCCTCTGCACATTTGTTTTTGTCTTTCTATATAGGTCAAACTTACATATGGGTAACGTGGCAGGTTCCGTTTTGGCAAGTGCAAGTAATGTTTTTCTCGGGACCCATGTCCCTATCCACTTTCTCAGTAACATTGCAAACATCGGCATCGAAATTCCAGTCGCTATTTCGCATAGTTCTGGCAATTTGATTCAGAACATTCACTAATAAAATCACAAGTCACAGTAGTAGTACATTAAAATCCAAGAATAAAGCGGGTTAAAACAGGAAAGTGAGCAAAAGGAAAAAGAAAAAGAAACAAAATTTACCCTCATCTTGAGGCAGCCGAGCAGCATCAAACTTGTTTGTGTGTAACCAACTGAAAACAAGAACAACTGATAGCAGAAGTGCGGTGGGTTTAGGGAAGAACATGTTTGAAACAAAGAAAGATCATCCAGGCTTCTCTAGCAACCGACCTGGCTCCTCTTTCTTGGACTCTTTTAAGTCCTTTTGTTCCTATTTTCCTCACTTTTCAGACGAAGAACAAACAGAACAAGAAACTGACTTTAGTAGTCAAATACTTTGAAGTTTGAACACTTAAAAAGAGAACACCGCTCTTCAAACGGCGGTTTCAGTATGTTGAGTACACGGAATTTTTTTTTTTTTTTTTGGACTCGTCGCAAGATATTTGCATTATTCAAAGTCTTGAATTTAATCCTTTGCTCATTGACTCTAATTCTAACGATCGGATTATCCGTCCGGTCGGGTTTGGGCTAAGACTCGATAAAGTTTTTGAAGCTTCGTTCATCCCGGTTTGGAATATTATTTAATAAATTTATTATTATTATTATTATTATTTTTAAATTATATTTAAAATATTAATATTTTAATACATTTTTACAAAAAGTTCAGACATAACGGAGCCGACTTATCAAGATTTGGGTAAGAGTTTTAAAAGGCCACTGGACATTATATTTTTATAAAATAGATTTAAATAGAATTGATAAGAGAAATTATTAAATATATTAATAATAAAATATTTTAATTTTATAAGTGAAATTAACTTTTTGATATATATCTTTTAGTATATACTTAAAAAGAATTTTAAAAATTAATTTAAAAAAATATGTATTATCATCTTAATTCCTCTTGTAAAATTAAAAAAAAAGTTATTATTAATATATCAAATAATTTTTCAATTGATAATAGTGCTAAACTTTTATAATTAGACTAAACTACATTTTTTTATGATCTAAAGATTTTTTATCATGTAGCAAAAATTAATACAAAAAAATTTATTTTAATATAAAAAATACTAAAAATTGATTTTTCTAATTAATAATATAATTGTTATTTAATTAAAAATATTATATTTTAATTACTGCTTGTTTTAAATTTTTAGATTTTTATTTATTAATTTTAGATTTTGTTTTTACCATTTTAGTAATTTATCTTTTAAATTACTAAAATTAAAAATAAATCATAAAGAACAATTAGACATTTTTCTTGTTAAGAACTACTCATCCAACATGGGGACGCAAACCATAATAAACTAGAATTCTACGCGTGGGGATAATTAATTTTATCTATTTATTAAACAATTTATGTTAAAAGTATTAAAGTTTGCGTCTTATATGATAGTTAAATTGTCGGTGTTAACTATTTTATTGCATTGCAAGTGTTATTATTTTTTATTTTAAAATTATAAATTATTTCACTAAAAATTAAAATATATTTTAAATTATAAATTTTGTATGAAAACTTTTAAACAATCAAAGAGAAAAATACAATAATTATAAGTTTTTGTTAAAATATACAAGTTATAGGTGATAGAAATATTTTTTAACTTCTTTATTTTTTTTGTTCTATTTTTAATTTATATTTTATTGTTATTTAAAAATAATCTAATAATTAGGGTTTTCAAATTTTAAGAATTTTAAGTATAAAAGAATTAATTGATATTTTAAAATTTTATATTTATATAATAGATTAAAGTTGTCCCAAATATAAGATTCTTCAATTTTAAAGACACATAAGATGAGATATAAAAATTTGTTAGAGGGTAAATTAAGGCAACGAATAAATGGATCAGAGGTGATTTAGAGAAATAACTTTTAGGTATTTTTTTCTTTGCTTTTGATATAAGAATATTGATTTTATCTATATCAAGAATACGATTTTTCACATGAATAAAGATGAGAATAGATATTATATTATATATATAAAGATATGTATGATTTTAAATTTTTATTGAATATGAAAATGAGATTGGAGATGGTTAATATAGCATGTGTATCCATACATTACCTGTATATTTATATATATTTAATAAATATATTTGTTATTAAATAATATAAATTATTATTTTAAATTAATTAAAATCAATAAATTTTTATTGAAAATTTTATATTAATAAATATTTATAAAAAAGTATTTAAATATACAAGATAAAAATTAAAAAAACTAAAAAAATAAAATTTTGTTTTTATTTTTTAAAAATATTATAAGTATAAGAATTATTCATACTTATTAAATACTTACGGAGATGATAATGAAAATATATATGAAATATCCATTGAGTATAAGCATAGAGATATGTATAATACAAAAATTCAAAATAAATATGGAGAACACTTTATCCAATCAATATCTTACCTATTAACGTTCCTATTTGGACACAAGATAATCATTTATTTATTTATTTATTTTTATTTTATTATGTTTTTTTTCTTTTTATATTAATCAAAAATGAACTTTTGTGCTTTCTAATTTATATATTAATGCATATATTTATTGTTCAAATAAGTTGGCTTCAATCACATTTTTTTAAGTTAAAAAAATAGCTTTGATGATATATTTTATGTTATTAATTAACATTGCAATATTTTTTATTTAATTCAATTAAGTGTATGAGTTAAATGAAGAATTGATTATCAATCATATGGCTTTGGAAATGGGAAGTAATAATTTCTATATACTATAATTTAGATGACAAGTGGGAATAACATTTTTGTAGTTTTTTCTTGTAATATTTAAAATATTTTCAATATAATACTTTTGATAAGGTTTTTTTAATAATTTTGTGCTTTTATTTTTTTACTTGCTTATTTAGCACAGATACTCTCAATAATTTATAAAATTATTTTATTATTTCGTACAAAATATTGTTCATATTAAGAATAATAATGATTTGAATCAAATCGAATTCAGTTCAAAATTTTGAGATAATATATAATATTATAAATTTTTAAAATTCGATCCAAATTTAAATCGATTTTCTTTTGAAACTAGTTCAATTTGAATTGAATTTTATCAATTGGATTCAATTTATTGATTTTTAAATTTTATTTTTTATTTTTATATATTATTTTAATAATAATATATTTAAATAGATTTTTATATATAATAATAATTTTTTATTTTATACAAATTTTAAAAAATATATAAAAACTAATAAAAAATAATTAAGTTTGGTTCAATTTTTTAAGTTTTTTACATATGGATCTGAAATTCAATATGAATTTAATATGTATATTTAATATTTGAGTTTAATTCAAATCAAATAAAAAAAATTTATTCAAATCAAATCAAACACTATAGTTTTGAATCAATTTTTTATTTTTTGAAATTTTTTTCTCACCGAATTCATATAAAGTGTCTAAAATGAACAGTACTTTTATGGGAATTTTTTCATATATTATTATAAAATTTGTGCTTTTCTTTTTCTTTTTATTTTTTATTTATCATAAATACCCTTAATACTTCATAAAGTTTCATTCTTATGTTAGACAAATATCATTCATATTAAGGGTCTAAAATTAACCAAGCTTTATATGATTTTTTTTTTAAATTTTATTATACCCTCAATAATTCATAAAATTTTATTTTTATCTTGGACAAATGTCATTTATATAAAGGATCTTAAATGATAAGCATTTAATGATTTTTTTTCATATTATGTTATAGATTCGAGCATAAGCAGACTAAGAGAAGTTTTATTTTCACCCTAAGAATTACTCAATACTTCCTAAAAAGTTTATTATAAATTTAACAATTAATAAAATTACTCAAATATCTATTAATCAATTATTTTTTTATCCTTCACATCTCTTTTTTCTTCTCTTATTTTCTTTTCATTTCATTTTCAGACTACTAGTTTTTTTTTTCTTCCTAGCAATAAATTGTATTATTGTCAAAATTTATAATTAACATTTATAATATCTTATATATTATCAAAATAAAAAGTAAACTTGAAAAAAATAACTGCAATAATAAAATTTTGAAAATAACGATTGAATAAGTTGATTTTCAGAAATTGATATACAAAAGTTTTTAAGGATATCTGAAAATTCATTTTTAAAAACTCTTAAAAACTTCCAAATATAAAGAACTAACAATTTATCTTTAATTATAAGTTTTTTAATTTTAAATGGATAAATTTTTCTTTGAATTTAATTTTAAATTTTTAGGATTATAATTAGGAAAAAAAAAAAGAGAAGAGATAGGATGTGAGGGAGAGGAGATAGAGTATCTTTATATTTTGATAAATTTTAATTTTAAGTATGAAATGTAATAAATTATTAATAAGGTGTTAAAAATAATAAAATGTGTTAAGTAAATTAAGAAAAGGGATATCATAAAAAAAGAAAAAAGTAAAAGCAAAAACTTTTTTGCTGCTTCGCTTCAGGTTATGGTGCCAGTGCAGTGCTTTGCGTGAGACAGAGACCATCAATTTTAAGCACATAGGTTTTAACATGTCACAAAGTCTATTTGTTCATAGTCATGCTAATCCCTTCGTTGATGTGACACTGCAGTTTGTAAAATTATGCATTTCGCGAAATTTCTCGTGCCGACACCTTTGTCTGGTCGCAGTTGTGTTCCTTGTGGCCATAGAAGTCTGCTGATGCACGCACCTTTTCTGAAATGTAAGATCAAGGTTCATTTTCATGTTTCAACGGTCGCGATCTTCGATTCTAATTTTGAGAGATTAAAGTAATATTTTGTAATAATTTTTTAAAAATATATTAAATTTATTAATAATAAAAAAATATAAATATATAATAATAAAAATTATAATTATAAATATGTTAATATATATATATATGTATATATAGAAATGAATATGTTTAATAATTGATCTCATTATTTTTAATTATAAATTATTAATATTATTTTTTATAAAAATACATATTATTTTATCATATTTAATATTTAAATTATTAAAGTGAAAAAAATCACAATTTTTTTTAATAAATTAAATTTTAAAACAAGAAAATAAAAACTTTAATATGATAAATTAAAAACTTCTAATTTTTTACATGGTATTTTTATATTATGAAAATAGAAAATGCATTTAAATTAATCATATTAATTATTTTGACATGTAATAATTTTCAAATAAAATGAGCATGCATAATATAATAAAAAAGATTGATTGAAAAAAAAATTATAATTGGATATTTGTCAAGTTATTATAGTTATTGTAATACTTATATATATATATATTAAACTTAAATTTAAATATTTGTGAAAATATAATGTTGACAATTTTATTATTTATTTTAAATTAAAAAATTTATAATAAGTAAACACAAGTTAAAATATTATAATTTTCGGAAATTAAGAATTATAATATTTAGATACAAATAACTTTTGTAATTATATATCCAATATAAATACATAGAAAAAAGAATAATACATATCTACATTGTAAATTTAAGTTTGAGATGGTCAAATTAATTTTTTTATAAAAGAAATTCAAATTTATTATCAAAATAACGCACGTATAAAAAAAAAATTCAAAATTTTTGGGGCAGGTTCTTTAAAGGATCCGCCAATGGTTTCAATGGCAGCTTAGCGCCAACAGTCAACCACGTATCTCACATTATCCCAAGCTAAGTCAAGGTCTTTGATAAAATATACAAATACGATACAACGAGTATATATAGATTGTCAACAAAGACAAAAAGAATAAAATAAATGGTAAGAGCATCCTGACAATCCAACCATGGTATGTTTCTCTGACTGCTACGAACTTGATTGGATTTCGTTAAGATCATGGGCAGATACAGACATTGTTGAAGAGCCAGTCCACGACGGGAATGATGTTGATGTCTGGCTTTCCATGGTTCTGAACCTTAAATGGTATTCCTCATTGATTTCATTCAGGTCATAAGCATATGCATCAGAAGGTTCAATCCTGGACCCTGCAGTTGTTGAACTACCCACCTGGCTTTCCAAATTCTGACTATTCATAGACTTATGATGGTCTCTTATGGCTTTAAACCTCAAATCTTGACTGTAACTACCTGGATCAGGGACAGATTCTGGAACGTTGATTGTTCCTTCTAGCATGCCTACTACTTCAGACATCGTTGGCCTTAGCGAGGGCGAAGCATTTGTGCATAGAAGAGCTATTTTAATCATCCCTTCTGCTTCTACCTTGTTAAATTCAGTTCCCAGCTTGTCATCCACCAACTCTAATAGCTTTCCGGTTTGCTGTAAATTACAGGCCTAAAAAAATACATAAGAACAATTAAGGACATTGCTATATTTTTCAACAATCTAAAAGACTCCTTGTTATGTATATATAGTACTGATTACCCAATCAAGAAGGCAAGTATATTTATTATCTGGATCATAACTCATATTGTGCTTCCCACTGACAATTTCCAGTGCCACAATTCCAAAACTGTAAACATCTGCCTTGTACGTCAAATACCCCCACAATGCATACTCCGGTGCAATATATCCTCTGCATTCAAATTTGTCATGTAATTTAGATTTGAAGTTCAAAACAGAATAATCAACTAGATATCTAGAATAAAATGGAACGATGACAAGAACTGGCTTACATTGTTCCTGCAACTCGTGTGCTGATGTGGGTTTTTTCCTCCTCATGAAGCTTAGCCAATCCAAAGTCGGATATTTTAGGATTGAGGTCTCTATCTAGCAGAACATTGGTACCTTTGATGTCTCTGTGAACAATTTTGAGTCTAGATTCTTCATGGAGAAATGCTAAACCTCTAGCTATCCCCGTACAAATCTTGTGCCTGGTAGGCCAGTCCAGGTTCATTTGACTATATTCTGGGCCTAAAGAAAGTCACCAGTAAATATTCAATAGGCAAAACAATCACTGTCCACCTCTCCAGGTTTTTGTTTCATTTTTCCATCCAAATAAATTTACCGGGTAAAATATTGTATGCTGCACTTACCAAACAAAGCCCGAGAAAGGCTATTATTTTCCAGGTACTCGTATACTAGCAACAATTGATCACCTTCAATGCAGCATCCGTAAAGCTTTACAAGATTCGGATGTTGCAAACATGATATCATGCCAATCTCGTTCATGAATTCACGATTGCCCTGACTTGATTTTGAAGATAGCTGCTTCACAGCAATGACTGTACCATCAGCAAGCTGGCCCTGCTACCCAATAATGAAAATTAATCTGAGCATAACCTTTAAAAGTGAAATATCATATTACTATAGGGTAACGCTTTGGGTGTGGGTCTCCACATATAGGGTTCATGATGACTGATATCTGGCTTGTATACCTTGTAAACAGGTCCAAATCCACCTTCTCCAATCTTGTTTGCAGAATCAAAGTTATTGGTGGCAGCCTTAATCTGCTTTAAAGTGAAAGAAACGGTTTGAACGTCTAGTCCTTTAAGATCTGTAAAAGAAGAGAGTTCCTTGTCCATTACAAATTTATATATTTGTTTATGGAAAAAAGATAGAGAAATTGGAAGCTCGTCTAATTAACCCAATCTGTGCATGGTTTTGTTATGTCTATTTGTGAACACACAAAATTTTACACCTGATAGTAAACAATTTTACCCGGGAACCTGGAAATTGAGATTCATAGAAAGGTATTTCATGCGATCTAAAAGCTGAAAGAATGCTTGTCATTTTTTTTAATACGTGGTTAATCTATCTGAAATTGCAAGAAAGAAAATTCTTAAGGATCGACTTCTCTATCTGAAACAATGCAAACCTTTTTCTTGCCGCCTCTTGGCTTTGAAATAGTATCTCCACCAAAGGATACCCAATGCCAAGCATATGAGCAATGCTCCTAGGACACCAACAACGATTGGCACAACATTCTGTTTCTTCTCTTCAGGTTTGAAATCTGTCCCAAAGAACTCACCAATCCGTTAAGCTAATTGAAATTAAGCTGGAAATAATAATACCTATAGCTAAACGTGTAATAAAGACTAGGATCAGGATGAGGAAAAGGGAAAAAGATCACATACTGGGATTCTCTAGGGAGATTGCTGAAATGAGTGGACCATGGATTCCTCTGTCAGGAATTGCTTGAGTTCCTTTGCCGGCCCAGTAGAAGCGGATCTCTATTCTACCATTTGTTACATTAACATCATATGATTTTGTATAGGGGGTAAGAACTCCTTTAGCTTCAGCTGCTATATTGAAATCTTCCTCCACAACCTCATCCTGCCACATGAAAAAAAAATTCTAGAAAAACCTTGTTGATAAGCTATTGACACAATCATGCATCTCAATTGTGATCACTTACCTGAATAAAAATATCAAACATGCGCCTTCCAGGACTTCCATAGATTGCATTATTTGAGAATTGAATCTCGGCAAAGTGTAGAGTCACAACATAGTTCCCATTTTCTAAACAATATTGATAATAAGTAAGCGAAAGAGGAGACAGACGTGCAGTAGTGTATAATTCAGGGAGGTTGGGTGACTGAACAGTTGCAATAAAACGTGACTGTAAGTTCAGTTCATTGTCATCATCTCTGAAGTCTCCAGTGCTACTGAATCCCCAGTTATCATCACTTTGATACAATGTTGCAGCACCACCAGAACCAAAAGTTCTATCTCCTATATAAGTTTTACCGTTTATTGTCACATCATCACCACCACAATTTACGTGCAAAGAGTGTGAATCTGAAATGGAGACAAAAAAGTAGTAAACTACAGATGGGAGGAACTTTGCAGACGCTGTTGGAAAATGGTAATGAAGAAAGACATGAAAATATAAGGTTAGCCTATAAAATTCGAAATGAAAGGATCATTTTCTGCATACTTACATTCTTCACATTCGAAATCATTCTTGCATTGAAAATTTTCACCTCTGTTATGATAGACAGAAAAGGGAATGGATTAACACCAAAAGGGTTTAGGGAAAATTACTTATATTAAGAGAAACTTGGCTTAAAATTTTGAACTATTTAATGAAGAACAAAGGATGGATTTTATTTTAGTCAAGCTTAAAAACTGAGAGCAAGAGAAAGAGTAACTATGCTGTACCAATGACAGTGGATTCTATGGCCATAGCTGGAATTTTATAACATACACAATAGATGCAGTATGAGGGCAACTTACAGGTTTCTTGATGAAGAACTGCGGAACAAATTAACATTACTCCTATTTAAAGACCAAAACACAATAAAATTCAGTAATATTGCATTAGGAAAGCATACAGGAAGTAGACAGTTCTCTCCAATTAAAAGTAAAAAAAGAAAAACCAACAATGGCTGACAAGCAGGCTGCTCAGGGCTTTGCCATGCGAAATTATTGTAGGAAAGATCTCTGCCAGAAAGAATGAAATAGAGCCATCTTCTTAGAGTTATTGCAAGTGAGGAAAAACTTACAAATATTCTTCAAATAGATACAAGAATTAGAAATCCTAGTAGAAAACACATACACAGTTATTCCTGTCCTCAAGATTGACTGTGGTATATTTCCACTGAGATTGTTGCCAGTTAGAAAGCTGATGTTCATCATATCGTAAAGTCAGTGTTACAAGCTTTACAAACCATAAACTAGAAAAATATTGGAATCATGGCTTAGACGATTTCTTTCATCAAAGGAGAAAGAGGGGAAAGAAAGAAACTTGCAGGAATTTTAAGTTGCCAGGGGGGATGACATCTTCAAGTTCTCCATTTAAACTGTTAAAACTGAGATCCCTGTCCAAAATCACAAGAAAAACATGAATATATTACATCTTATGGTTAAAATTCCCCATGAATTCATGATACTTCTAAAAATTAAAAAGTTTTTAGTAATTAAAGACATATAAAGAATGCTCACAGCATACGTAATTCACTCATGTCCCAGACATATTCAGGGATCTGCCCAGAAATGCTGCATTTCTTTAGAATTCTACAACATCCAGAATTTTGGTGATGTCAAATATAATGATCCAGAAGTGATTAATCATATGCCTTTTTAAACAGTAGAAGATTAACAGTGAATGTTACATTCGCCCGATGCCCTTCATGTTCCTTATATCAGGAAAAGACTGATTTGTTCCATTTATGTCACTTATTATCCTGTACATAAGTATAATGTTGAGAAGAAAACGTTTAGCCACAAAAAGTTTAGTAAATTGTTGTCACAAATCTACTGCTGATGGTAAAATTGAGAAGCTTTCACTTACAAAGTTTTCAAGTTTTCTAAAGCAGAAATCGATGATGGAATAGGTCCTTCAAGTCCACTACCTTGCATTTCCCTGCTTATCTCAGATAAATTAACAAAAAACAACCGAGAAGATTTCAAGTGAAAATACAAATTTGATGCTTAAAGTCACTTAGAAACCTCTTGAAAGTTGAGGATATCTTACAATCTCTCAAGTTTGTTCCAGTTCTGAATGAAATCTGGTATACTGCCTTTCAAGTTGTTGTCATTTATCCGACTGCATTTTGCAATATTAATGTTAGTAAGTTAATAACAGACTTCTTCCGTTTTTTTATTGTGAATCAATTCAACTAGTATAACAAACCCTACTAAAAGGCTTACAAGTCTGTTAAGTTCCTCAGATCAGCAAGTTCTGATGGCAAATTTCCACTCAATCTGTTGGAGGACAATCTTCTGAAAGGACAAATGTATTACATCCTTCAAATACTATTGAGAGACATTTCAAGAGAATATAAAGTTCAAGAAAACAAAAATTTGAAGAGGAAGTCTTGAAATGACTTACAAAGTTTCCAAGTTGACCAACTTCCCGAACTCTGGAGGGACTTGTCCTGAAAAATTGTTTACTTCAAGATCCCTGAAAGATAGATAAGCTAAGGTTACTAATAGGACGCAACATTCACCAACCGGAGAATAAAACTCTTCATTCCTCTGATTGTGTACTTAAAATTCGTTACTAAAAGTATGCAAATAATATAATTTAAGAAGTTTATCTCTAAATGTAAAATTTATGGACCAAAAGGATTCCAGTTTCTGAACATCATCCATGAATTAGAGTACTTCAAAACTTACAAGTACTTAAGGGTGCTAATGTTCCACAGATAGCTTGGGATACTCCCTAATAATCGGTTTCCAAAGACAGAGCTGCGTGAAGGTTGTCTGGTTAGCTCAATAACAAACAATTATCTTATCTTTTCTTGCATAAGTTTATGGTGAAATTAGTTGGGGAGAATAACTCACATTTTCTCCAACTGCATGGAACCCCATTCAGCTGGTATGGAACCATTCAGGTAGTTGTAAGCAAAATCACTGCACGCAATATTAAGATCATTCTAATATACTTAAATTTATATGCGTGCACACCATGTGATGTCAGAGAGAAAAAGAGTTGCGTTGCTTACATCTCTATGAGGTGAGGAAGAAGTACTAGTTCAGATGGAAGTGCACCTGGAAGGTTCTGACGCTTAAATATTCTGAAATCCATATAACAAGCTAACTATTAGTCACTTTGAATCTATCTGTATGTTTCAGTTTTTATTTTTTCTGAGCCTAAGCTATACATAACAAATCTATGATTATGGACAACTAGAATTCCACAGTTTTATACTTGACAAGATGTGGGATCAGTCGAGTAAAAAACCTGCACCTTTTAAGTCGGTTTAAGTCTGAATAAACTATAATAAAAAACCTGTTTAGATCTTTTCTCGAGGTTTATTGAGGAACACTGAAAATGTTTTACAAAGAGTGTAAGATATTTGTTAAGTTTTTTCTTAAAAAAACAAAATCCAATACAATAAAAACCTGAAATGAGTGCAGAAATTAAAGGTAGTAGAAGAAGACTAAGTACAAATGAATACAAAAAGAATGGACCGGAACCTACAAATGTGTGACATGACAGTTTTCATTCTGGCAGTAGCAAGTAACGTTTCTCTCAGGGACAAATCCTCTTTCTACCCTGGTTGTTTCATTCTCTTGGCAAACGTTTTCATCAAAATTCCAGTCTGTTGCTCCCATTGTCCTGGCAATTTGATTCAGAACATTCACTGTATAAACACATCCATCAAAAACCCGATGTCATCACATCTTGTTCATTGAACCCAAAAATAAAACATGACAAGAACAAGAATATAGAACTAAAACAAGAAAATGATCATAAAGAAATAATTCAATTAATTCATCATCACACCCTCGTCTTCAGGCAGCCTGGCAGCCTCAGATTTATGAGTTCCTATCAAACTCAAAGCTAGAGCAGCCGATACCAAAATCACGGTCTTGACAAGCATCATCCTGACAAAATTGCAGTACACAGAAAATCTTTCTCCCCTTTTTATCTGCAACCATTATTTAGACTGTTCCTCTCTCTTAAGCAACTCCTTTCATTTGACTTTATGTAGGAGAACGGTGTAAACTTGTCAAATAGTTTATACTAGTCAAATTAAAATGTTTAACAAACTTTAAAATGAAATTAGCCACCATGCATTCTCGTCATTCTTGACCTTTCATCAAAACACTTTTCCCGTAGCGTGACCTAACCGTGATTGTGGAATACTAGTGTTATTTTTAATGGAGTATTGCATTATCTTGGGAATTTCTTTTTTGATTTTTTGCCAAGTGATTATAGGATTATTTCATACGGCTGGTTACTTCAGATTTTCAAACCGCATGCTGACTAGGATAGCACGTGGCCCCCTATACGTGTGGTCAATTTTCAGTTTTTAAAACCAAAAGCTAATTGGTTGGTTAATTTAAACAGCTTTCAATTGTCTTTTGCTTTATTCATGGACGAACAAATTCATTGGTTGCCTGTATCTTTTGACTTGAAGATCATAGAAAATTCCAAACGTATTCTTGAGAGCAAAGCGGTGCAGACAATAACATCGTTCATACGAAGAAAAAGTACTCTAATTTCATTTTAATCAGTGCATTATTTTAATATTGCACACATTTGGAATTGTGATTGGCATAATAAAGATCAAGGCGTGAAGGATTGAGGGTCAAGTAACGGGGGGACAGATGTTGAAATCTGGACCTGACCTACTGAATTAGGGCTGTCTGGCTTGCCATAGCTACTTGTTGCATTAGACTCTTAATTAGGACTCCATGTTGATGTCATACAGATCATTTTCAGAGGCAGAGGAAGATTGACCCGCCAGAACCTGGCCGGCCGGCCTTGAATAAATGAACTGACTTCCTCTCGAGCTCTGGTTATGTGTCTGTTTATGATGATCCCTTACGGCCTTACACCGTAAATCTCAGTTTTAGGTACATATTGCTTAATACTTCAGAAATGGTTGGCCGTGATGCATATGAAGCATTTGTGCGGAAGAGAGCTATTTTTATCATCCTTTCTGCTTGCACCTTATTGAATTCAGATCCCAGCCTTTCATCCGCTAACTCTCTTAGAATTTCACTTTGCTGGCAATGGCAAGCCTGTCATGTAAAGATCAACTTATAAAGTAAAACTACTGCAACATATTTCGTAACACATCAAGAATTATATTAACAGTAAAATCTTAAAACTGGGTAGTTTAGTCATGATTTTCTTTGTGTAAATAACCAAAAGAAAGTTCTGGTTGCCTTCAACAATCTTAAAGGGAGAAATGTTTAAAGCAATATCAGTTGAATTTTGGAGCCATGACACATCTGAAATGTATCAAATTACAAAGACATTGCTTTTTCAAATTTTGTTGGCCGGCAAAGTTATATGCCTATGAATAATTAAGTCTTGATTCTTCATGGAGAAAAGTTAAATCCTCTGCCCTGTTGGCCAGAAAGTCTCACAAGAAACTAAAGGGCTACTAAACCTATTGTACACATATTCTAGGCCCATTATCATTCACCCAAGTTATACACGTGGCAAAAAATCTTATTTATCATAATTTTTTTCTATAATTACTTAAAATATTTTTTTTATATAAATATAATATTTCGTTCATTAAAATATTATCCAAAATTATTTTTAATTTCATAACAATACTAATACTAGTACTAATTTTTATAATTTGAAAAACAATGACCAACTAAGTGAAGGAAAGAAATGTGAAAAAGGAAAAGGAGGATGCTATCGTCGCCAATTTTCCAAATGGAATCCCAAAACGCCGACGAAGAGGACCAGTTCTTCGACGCACTCGACGACTTCCCTTTTTACGATTGCCTTGCCTTCGACGAATCAGATTCTTCCACGTCCGACTTACCTTCTACTATCCGCCATCGGGTCTTCTCTCGCAGAGGAATCTCCTCCAAGGAACCCGGCGATTTACTTCCAGAAGCTTCCACCATCGAAGACCACTCGAAAACCAATTTGAGAGAGCCAAGGTCTAAGTTTTACCGCGATGTGAAGACAAATGATCACACTTTCGAGATAACTGAGTCAACTCGCGATGGCCTCAACTCGAACCGCGTCATAGAAGAGAAAAGCGACGTCGAATCCACGGTCACCACTGCGAGAAACGATGAATTAGTTGACCGAGCCCGTAACTCGGCTGATTTGGGCGCTGAACTAAGTGAGTCACTATATTCTTCCTCGAGTTTGCTAGTGTTTATAGCTGGTTTAATGATAAAGGCAATCGGGTTTCAGTTAAATTTGCTAATAAGCTTCGTTACGTTTCCTCTGTCAGTGTTAAGCTCCTGCTACATGTTTATTATTGATCCTTTTCAAGCTTTGAGGAATGGTAGAGCTTATATAATCACAAAGTTGTTAAATATATGGAATTCTATTTGTGGGTATTTTAGTCCTTTGATGTATGAGTGGTTAAAGGATTTTAATTCTATATGGAACCTTGTGTTCCGATTTGGGTGGGGAATGTTTTGGGCTACATATGTAGGCTGTGTTTTATGTGGGTTATTGTTTACTTCACTTGTGATTAGTGGGGTTTTGATGAGGTATTTGGTGGAGGAACCATTGAAGATAAAGGAAATGTTGAACTTTGATTTTACTAAGAGTAGTCCGGTTGCATTCGTTCCTGTTGTATCTTGTGCTGCTGTTGGTTGTGGCATGAAATGTATGGAGAAGATAGATGTTGGGAAGAATGTGGGTTCCCGAGTCATACCGCCCGATCACAAATTGCAGGTTACGGTTTCTTTGACATTGCCAGAGTCAGAGTACAACAGAAATCTTGGGATGTTCCAGGTATTTGGTTGATTTATGGAATGCAGAAATTGCCATTGTTTTCAAGTTATTTTACTTCTGTTTAGTTGTGTTTTTTATTTCTCATCGAGAATTCAATTTGGGGTTTATGGTTCTGCTTGTAGTTTTAGATTGGTTAGGTTTTATGCTGACATTCTTTAGCACCTTTGTGAGTCATAAATGTATCAATTGTTTTAATTTTGATAAGAATTACTGATGAGCCAGTTTTGAAGTAATTTCAGAACTTATTAGATGAAGTAATTGGACCTAGTAAGTTAGTAAACAATATTGTTGTTGGATTTGGAGTGTCCGTCAACCTTAATCATTGAGGGAATGGGTTATTATTTCCTCAGGTTACTAGCCTCGTGAGCCAGGAAAAATTTATAGCCAGTGTATTTGCCTGAGATGATAGCATTGCTAACCTAATGATTGAGGGAAAATTGGATTGTCCAGTTGATACTTCTATATGTTAGTAGCAGCCTGCTACCATAAGAGAGTTCTAGAATACATTTGATAATATTCTGGTGATTGTTCATTTGCTTATTAGCAGCATAAACTTAGAGTCTTAGACCACTTCCTTTTGCTATCAAACACTAAAATTGAGTATAAAGTTCGGTTTAATTTTGATGTATTCTGTTATCCTGAACAATTCTATCCCATATGTATTAAATAACATAATATAGTGATTGAGGCTAATGATATGTTGGCTGAAACCTTGGTCTAGAACTAGGGCTATGAAAGTTTGGTAACAAGGAAAGATGGCCATTTTATAAAAGGTGTTTCTTCCTGAGTAAATGTAATGGTTTTTATTTACCTTTATCAGTTATATGACTCTTTAACTTTTTGTAACTAAAATCGTATTTGATGAATGCTAGTGCAATTTTTTTTTTTGAAGGTCAGGGTAGATTTCCTGTCTGTTAATGGTGAAACTCTCGCCAGTTCAAGCCATCCATGCATGTTGAAATTCAAAAGTGAGCCTATCCGCATTCTGTTGACATTCTTTAAGGTTACTCCTCTTATCACTGGCTATGTTTCAGAGGCACAGACTCTGAATCTGAAGATTAGAGGTTTGAATGAAGGAATTGTGCCTACTGCTTGTTTAAGGGTAGTACTTGAACAACGAGCGGAGTACAGGCCGGGTGCTGGTATTCCTGAACTATATGATGCGTCCCTCATCCTTGATTCTGAGCTTCCTTTTATAAAAAGAATTATATGGTACTGGAAGAAAACTATATTTATATGGGTCAGCTTGACATCATTTATGATGGAATTATTGTTTGCTTTAGTTTGTTGTAGACCTATACTCATTCCAAGAACAAGGACAAGAGATGGTTCTGCTAGCAGCAGTTCTACACAGAATAGATTGCAAGCACAGATTTGAAGCACTGCAGACTTGATAATAATGCAATTAAAGATTTACCTTATCCTTTAGTTTTCCCCTGATTTTTTAAATCTTTTTCAACTCTGATGTACAATTGTATATATTTCTTCTTTTAAATAAATTGAAATGATTGAAGTTTTTGTGTTTGGAGTTGTCTTAGGTCTAATTCCTATTACTTTGGCTGGATTATTCATAACCGCATATTTACATTACAGACGTGGTGATCAGTTGAACCTTTGATTAATTAAAATCTCTATTTTTTATTGATCCCTTTAATTTTAATTTAATTAATTTAATTCAAGGAGGTCAAATATGAATTGCTGTTCAATTTTTTTTTTCTTCAGTTCGGTGTAATTTTCAACCTAACAAGAGCGGAATCGTGCTCTGTAGGATTTGAACATATGACATTGGGTTTTGGTTGTTTTTTATTGTAAGCACTCTTTTTTCTATTTTAGGGAATTGCTTACGTCTAGTAACAAGTAAGAGTAGTCGATAGTATTAGATATAGATTAAAAAAAAAAAAAGGAAGGAATAAAAAGAAATTCTACTAATCAATATTTGTGAGGCGGTCTTTCTGGTATTTTTGTACTAGATTCAAAGGTTTTTTTTCTTGATCTATGTACAAAGATGATGAATATATTTCTTTTTCTTTTCTACTCTTGTCCTGCTGTTCTATTTTTGTTAATACCATTTATAATGATTGATGAATCAAAAAATTTTAATTGAACTTATTCTTTCAATTGGTATTTTTGCTTATCCCTGTCTCTTTTAAAAATTGAACTTAGGTAAGTGCTTTATAAACATATGTATAAAAAGAACATATTTCATTTAGCTCCTTCATGCATACTCTAACTAGTTAGTTCAGTTTTTTACTAGCGATTTTAACTATAACTTTAGCTCTATTTATTGGTCTGAGTAAGATATGACTTATTTGAAAATTTATTGAATGAACGATGTTTTACAATTGTACATGTAACTACAGTGACTAGTTATTTAGTTGATGAGTAACTTACGTTTGACTGATTAGTTGTTGCATAGATGAAGGAAATAATGCAAATGAAGATCTCGCCTTGCTCTGTTCTCTAAAACAACCGTCTAATCAGCCATAATGCACTTGAATGATTGTTGGTAAACTGTTGTTGATGAGTGAATTTCCATGTTGGAAAGGAAATGCATTTCCAATTTGCATGTGGTTTGCAGTATCTTTCTGTTTAGTTTTTGTGTGGACAAAATTTTCAGCTATCAAGTGGGGAAAACAAACCGTTTTTGTTCTGCAAATTGATTTGTTAGCAAGGTTTATCATGTGAACTATATTATCTTTGGGCCCCTATAACATCTATCTTTCCTTTTGCCTCTGGATTTAGCTCCATCGACACTTGAGGCAACCATGTTGAGCTGATAGCTACAGGGAACTCTCATGCTTATGTATCAAGTTTCTGTTATTATGTGTTTGTGAAGTTTAAAATGACTCAAAATTGGTTCACATGTCAGGATATCATTTATGATTTATCAGATGCAACATCCAACATAGACTCTTTCTATTTTGGTGCATGTGAACAGTTATATGCAGGAATCATGTGCTTGTTCAACGGGAAGACTCCCCCAATTTGAACAAGCTTTTGAAGGTGGCGCATTCTATCAATGCATACGAAACATTCAGCTTGTGATTTCAACTAATTCTTCAGAGGATAACATGCTTTTGTCAATCTTATCCATTTCCAAATTTTCGTTTCCAATTTTTCCTCCTCAGGAATCAGGATGAAAGGTCTTAAGGTTTCTTTGTTATTTGCGTCTTTACTTTTCTAGCTTACATAATTTTGATGATGTAATAGAGGACTAGTATGATGGTTTGGAAAAGAAGATAAAGGACAGTGTAATTTGTTCAAGCAATTATGGAACTGGGAATTTAAATCATCTGCTTTCAAGAATATGAGGGTAAGTAAAGGATCAGTGACAAAAATACCGCAGAAATGAGCAAAACATTTCTATTAAAATTGCCTTCATTGATATTCTGTAGTAAGGTTAACGATCCACTTCTATAACACATTATTTATAGTCCATTTATAGTCCTGAATCTCCTGATTTACATAAATAACAAGCAAAAAAAGACCTACGTTTCTACTCTTGGCAAGTTTAACCGCAATTACGTGAACTCTTGAGGAAAGAAGCACCCTTGGTAATCTTCCGCAACGGCTTGTCAGTATACCTCAGCATGTTATAAACCCAAGCACCTGATACTGCCCCAAGAATTGGTGGAGTAATGTATATCCATATCCCTTTGTAATGATTGGACACAATTGCTGGTCCCAAGCTCCTTGCTGGGTTCATCGAAGCTCCTGTAATTGGCCTGTCGAACAGGATCTTAATTCATCAGCACAAAGTTGTACTGGCAAAAAAGAATGACTCCGAGGACAAAACATGCTTAGTTTGAATTCGGGTTTGTTCTTAAGATTTGTAACTATGCTGCATAACTATGATTTCAAATTGAAGTAATAGTTAGCAGCCAAGAAGGTTATGGAAAAAGTTAATACCCCGCAAACAAAACGTTAAGCAGCACGGTTGCACCAATGGCAAGTCCTGCAAGTTCTCCAATCTACACAAGTAAATGGAATTGGAACGAATCAGAACATTATTGCTGTTACTTTAAAACGTTTAAGATCGTTTTCTTTCATATGGTTTTCAATGCAGATAAGAATTGAAAAGACTGAGTCACTGTCATTAACCTTGCATGTAATTCAAAGGCAAACTTAGGCTTACCATATTCCTCCAATTTTTCTCAAAAAAAAAAAAAATGAAAAATAAAAAAAATGATAAGGTGAAATGGTAGAACTTGCAGCTCTGTTATCAGTAGCGACACCAGATATAATGAACATGAGGTAGAAAGTGATGATGAACTCGACCTCGAATGCCTGCAAGTTAGACCCTTGTGGCGATGTTCCAGCAAAGACGTCGTGTGGTCCGTTAAACAGCAGACGAAGGGTACCAGCTGCAAGAGTTGATCCAATGACTTGAGCTGATATATAAATTGGCACCTTAAATGAAAGAAGCAAATTAAATTAGCCATTGGAAATTACTTGTGCAGTTCCAGATGTATCAATTGCAGAACACTGCCTTGCACCAAATTGCATTTGCGCTGAAGTTTTTTCTACTTTCTCCATTAGAGAACTCATTCCCAAATCCCAAGTTCTTACAATATAACCAAATTTGGCTTAAAGTTATGACCATGCTGCTATGACTTACCTGTTTCAGAGGAAATCTTTTGCAGGTAGCAAAAGCAATGGTAACTGCAGGATTGAAATGGGCACCAGAGATGTGACCTACAGAGTAAACCAAACATCACAGCCAATCCCCACACTATTGAAATCCCAGGAAGTGAAACCACTTTGTCATTGTTTACATTCACCACCACTGATGCACAACCAGAAAATATCAGGAAATATGTGCCCAACACCTCAGCCATCAGCTGCATATTGGAATGGAAAACGAATTATCATTCACTCTTTTGAACCATAACACATCAGTAACAAATGAGAATTGGAATCATATGGGGTGAAGATAGCTAGGGACATAATTGAAGCAAGGCAATCGGTTAAGATCAAAAATCAAAATTTTGTTTTCGAAGACAAAATTTGAACAATTTAATTTGGAGTTTACTGTTAGAAGGAAAAAGAAGAAAAAGACAAGAAAGAAGAATATAAAGTTGCCTTTTGCATGAAAGGTACAGAGAAACAGAGGACAGAGTCTTTGCTTTTGGAGGCTGATGGAGGAGGATTATGATTGGCTTCCCCATTCACATTCAGAACTACTCCATGATTTCCGTTACGCCCGGAGATCTTAGCCATGACTGCTAACTTTTATGTGACAAAGAAAATTAGCAAAACAGTGAAAAGAAACGGAAAGAGAGATCAAAACAGAGAGATAAAAAACAGAGAATGGACTCTGCTCCCTTTTGTTCCTCAACAGCCACGAAGAAGTGTGTACAACAACCCACCTAAGGAAGCCAATTTAAGGGGCAGCCTAGATGATCCAAATATATAAATATGCTAGTTTTTGGCAACGACGTACATGTAATTTTTATTTCTAAAAATTTATCTCAATAAATAATTTTTTTGATGCTATGATAATAATAATAATAATTATAAATACTAATAATTTAATTTTGATTTTTGTATAATATAGATAAATTTTGATAACTTTTTATATACTCTTGAAAATAATGATAAATACTAACAATTTAATCTGAATTTTTTATACTTTAAGTAAAATTTGATAACTTTTGATATAATTTTAGTTTCAATAACTTTTAATAAAATTTTATTAACCTTCAATATGATTTTGGTAACATTTGATATTAATTTGGTAACTTACAATATAATTTTGGTACTCATTGATATAATTTTGATAATCTTTAATAAAATTTTGGCAATTTTTTGGTGTAATTTTAGTAATATTTTGATAACTTATTATATATTTTTTATTATTATTGATAAAATTTATGTCATCATATATTTAAAAACGAATTCCATGTAATAAAGTAAGAATTTAGTTCTAATATAAGATAATTTTCTTTTTATATAATAATATTATTATTTCATTTAAATTTAAATTTTTGTTCACTAAATCTTTTTATTAAATAGGTTTATGGTAGATTTATCATAGCTCCCTAAGATGAAATTTGTAGCCTTTTTTTTTGTTAATAATTAAAGTTCAATTTCTGACAACTTCAAGTATACAAAATTTGTTAGTGATTGATAACTAAGTTATAATTGATTTAATGCTATTTTATCATTTATTTACTATTAAGCTATCTTATGATATATTGCTAAATTAACATTAAAGTACTACTAATTTATGAATGATTTACTATTAAATTATATATGATTTACTAATAAATTATTGATAATTTATTACTAAAGTACTGATTATTTATTATAAAGTTACAACCGAGTTATTATTAATTTATCAATAATTTACTACTAAATTATCAATAATTTATTATTATGTTATTATGCATTTACTTATATATTATCATTGATTTACTATTTGGTTTTTTATTATTTACTTTGAAACCGTCATAGATTTATTACTAAATTAATTATTATTCATTATCAAGTTACCACTAATTTATATTGAATTATCTATGATTTATTATTAATTTATTACTAATTAACCATTAAGTCATCTATGATTACTACTACTAAGTTATATTAATTTACT